ATGAATTATCTTTGAAGCTTTTGATGATTTAGAAGTAATTAGCACGAGAGATAAACTAATAAATGCGATCAAGGTAGCCAGAGACTGCAAGAGGTCTGAATGTAAGGGAAAGAACTGTAGCTAGAGTCAGCAGTACACGGGGTTGTTTATACCAGAACTCGAGGTCACAACTTCAGGTGCAGCTTCTGATCCGTACGGGGTACACTCCCCTGTACCGTTACCATGACGACGTAGTCAACACAAGTTGAGTTCATGTAAGGACGCTGAGAACATGAGAATATGATTGAGGTAGAAATTGGTTTAACCTAAAATGGATGGGTGAATTGTGTCTGCCCGCCCACACCAGATACACAAAATAGAGCTGCCTATTGATGACTGTTTCATCAACTCGGTGATCACATGACCTCGTTGGTTCCCGGAAATGATGGCGTGGTTGCCATACCAACATTCGAAGTCGAATTATTGTTTCGTTTAGTAATTATAACAGCAAACATGGAGGGTTAACTGCCTTAGCTTTGTAGAGGCGAGAATGTTTAGAGTATGAGTGGGGTGTCAGTGGGGAGTGTGGGTGTAGCTCTGTGAATTGAATGTGTGATTGTATGTGTGGGGAGTGTGTGATTATATGAGTGGAGAGTGTGATTGTTTGAGTGGGGAGTGTGTGCTTGTATGAGTGGAGGGTGTGTGGTTGCCTGAGTGGAGAGTGGATGTTTTACGAATGTGTTATTACTTGAGTGAGAGTGAGCCCCTCAATAAAACATATACTTGTATTGTTGTCTCACCACTAATGTTGTCTCACCACTATTGTTGTCTCACCACTATTGTTGTCTCACCACTATTGTTGTCTCACCACTAGTGTTGTCTCACCACTAGTGTTGCCTCACCACTAGTGTTGTCTCACCACTATTGTTGCCTCAGCACTATTGTTGTCTCACCTATTACTACCTTGACCACCCACCTGCCACCATGTTCTCCATACCGACTAGAGCTCAAATCGACAGCTTGAGACCAAAGAGTCAAACGGTATTTTCCATCCACTCAACTTGCTCCGGCGTGTATGTGTTAATAGACTAACATCTAGGCGAGGTGGGCAGGTAAGGCTCCAACCATCCCTCACCCACCCCCCCTATGTGTAATCCAGGTATGACAGCCATCAGTCCGTGTCTTGCCCGTGTTCACGTTCAGCATATCTGAAGGTGTAATGGGATCAGGATGTCTTTGGACTTGAACTTAATAGATAGATACCAGGTCTATGCATATACATGCCAGATACATACAACAGATACCAGGTCTATGCATATACATGCCAGATACATACTTGAATGCTCTTGAAGATGAAGGTTAAGGTGACTTTTGCTTTCTCCCAGCTAGAGAAACAAACACATTTAGTAGACCTTATGTAGAGAAACAAACGATTGCATCATTTCCTGTTGTGTAAATGCCATAAAGGACTTGCCAAACTAATTGCAACAACTTATCGTGCCATATTTAACACTGCGTCAGCTTCCTCTCGGATGAATTTATTGTGTCATAATATAAAACACAAAACTCTGACTTTATATAATCCATATCATCTTGTAACGTTAATGTTATGTATTGAAATACAACATATTTCTACGGCATCACTCACCTCTCACGTCTTGATACAATTTAGGTCTACAAAATCTGATTTTTATCTCAATTATGGGAATCACCCCATTGTAGAGAACATCTTTGTTAAATCTTCTTTAGAAACAAAAAACAAAGACTTACTTTGATTCGATGTTTTATATGTTTGTGTCGGTAAATGCGTCAGCTACCAATGCTTTTGCAGTTTGTTTTATTTTCTTATTTTTAATGAATATAAAAGGTTATTACTATAAAGGTTTTTTAAATACTTGTTAAATTTTATTTATTTTTTTTTTTTTTAGTAATTTTGAAAATTGAAATATTTAAGTTTTAAAAGCAATTAGTTTTTTTTTCCATTCCATTCGTCCTTAATTTTTAAAAAATGGCTACCAACACAAAACACCGACTACCAACTTGCTACCTGAACTTTAAAACACAATTATCACGTCGGCTCTCAGGCGTGACACCAATCACCCGTGACCAGAGTTTCTTTCAAGCATCTCTCCCGGGACGGACGTAATAAAAAATAAAGAAAACGAGCTGACCCGCAACGTAGCATACACCGCTATCTAGTTGTTTTATTTTCTACTTATCATAATGTGTGAATTCGACACTACCCCATCCCCCCTGCCTCCCCCACCCCGCCCAGTGAAAGCAGACGTTTACCTAAGACAATGAAAATATCAAGCAGAACTTATTATCTCCCCTTAGTTTCAAATAGTTTAAAAAACTAAATTATCTGCCCTAGCCCCTAATAGCCGTCACTAAACCCGGCTCTACGATTGTAAACATTCGGGGTGAACCATAGCTCACCCTACAGGTGGGGGTGAGGCTGGTAGTGATATGCCTAGAAAGCAGGGTAGGAACGGCTAAGCTGCGTGGTGTCTCGTATGGTCCCCATGAAGAGAATTATATATATAAAAGATATGCCTGTACTTGAACGAAAAATGTCTGGAATAACCTGCCCTTAATCAACATTTCCCTTTAAGCTACCACCCCTTTAAGCTACCACCCCCTGCCACCCCATTTGTCACCACCCTTATAACACCACCCCCATTAAGACCTCAGCCATTGTGTGATGACAACAGCTGTGAATGCCCTGACATTGTTAAAAGGATTTGTTCCTTTTGACACGATGGCATCAAATTTTAATGTCACTCTAGACTAGGTGTCATGGCTGACTGATTCTTTTATCACAATAATACAAGTCAGTCCCTGTGCCTATCCCCCACTTCCACCCCGTCAACCCAAACTTATTAGCTGTGGTATCCTCCCTAGCCTGGTTCTAGAATTGCCAATATGGTTATGGTGAAATCTAAAGATGAAGTCATGCATACACGTGGTATGGGAGAACAAGTTGACACAAAAGGTTTTTGAACCAGTTAACTGTTAATGTTCTAGTTTTGCTTGTAAGACAGGTGTTTAGGAAATGGCAGCAATTCACATTTTTAAGCTGTTATGATTAATTTTTTAACCATTGTTAATTACCAATTTATCCAGAGGCTTAGCGGCCCTTCCTGGCGCCAGGGGACAAACTTTCGATTTGCACCCCCCACCCCCTCAAACATTCAATTTGTTTTTCCAACCCATTTTGCCCCCCCCCCCCCCATCGATATGCTTCTGAATTTATCACTTTAATTATAGAGGTCATAATCTGTATTAACTATTGCATTAAAAGACAGAGATTTGATCTATCTAGAGATGTTCACCTCTAAACTGTATGGCATTAAATGAAAATAGTTGAGTTTTAGGGTTTTAAGTACCCCACCCTGCACCTAGAACAATGGTCCAAGATCTCTGGGAGTAAAGAATCACACTATGCACACTTGTTTGGTTGTTTCAGGAAATAGATTTGCTTTAATGTGTAACTTTTGTCTGACTGTGTAACTTTTGTCTGATTGCTAGTGTGTAACTTTTGTCTGATTGTTACTGTGTAACTTTTGTCTGATTGTTAATGTGTAACTTTTGTCTGATTGTTAATGTATAACTTTTGTCTGATTGTTAATGTGTAACTTTTGTCTGATTGTTAATGTGTAACTTTTGTCTGATTGTTAGTGTGTAACTTTTGTCTGATTGTTACTGTGTAACTTTTGTCTGACTGTGTAACTTTTGTCTGATTGTTACTGTGTAACTTTTGTCTGATTGTTAATGTGTAACTTTTGTCTGATTGTTAATGTGTAACTTTTGTCTGATTGTTAGTGTGTAACTTTTGTCTGATTGTTACTGTGTAACTTTTGTCTGATTGTTACTGTGTAACTTTTGTCTGATTGTTACTGTGTAACTTTTGTCTGACTGTGTAACTTTTGTCTGATTGTTACTGTGTAACTTTTGTCTGATTGTTACTGTGTAACTTTTGTCTGATTGTTACTGTGTAACTTTTGTCTGACTGTGTAACTTTTGTCTGATTGTTACTGTGTAACTTTTGTCTGATTGTGTAACTTTTGTCTGATTGTTACTGTGTAACTTTTGTCTGATTGTGTAACTTTTGTCTGATTGTTACTGTGTAACTTTTGTCTGATTGTGTAACTTTTGTCTGATTGTTAATGTGTAACTTTTGTCTGATTGTGTAACTTTTGTCTGAATGTGTAACCTTTGTCTGATTGTGTAACTTTTGTCTGATTGTGTAACTTTTGTCTGATTGTGTAACTTTTGTCTGATTGTGTAACTTTTGTCTGATTGTGTAACTTTTGTCTGAATGTGTAACCTTTGTCTGATTGTGTAACTTTTGTCTGATTGTGTAACTTTTGTCTGATTGTGTAACTTTTGTCTGATTGTTACTGTGTAACTTTTGTCTGACTGTGTAACTTTTGTCTGATTGTTACTGTGTAACTTTTGTCTGATTGTGTAACTTTTGTCTGATTGTGTAACTTTTGTCTGATTGTGTAACTTTTGTCTGATTGTGTAACTTTTGTCTGATTGTTACTGTGTAACTTTTGTCTGACTGTGTAACTTTTGTCTGATTGTTACTGTGTAACTTTTGTCTGATTGTGTAACTTTTGTCTGATTGTGTAACTTTTGTCTGATTGTGTAACTTTTGTCTGATTGTGTAACTTTTGTCTGATTGTTACTGTGTAACTTTTGTCTGATTGTGTAACTTTTGTCTGATTGTGTAACTTTTGTCTGATTGTGTAACTTTTGTCTGATTGTGTAACTTTTGTCTGATTGTGTAACTTTTGTCTGATTGTGTAACTTTTGTCTGATTGTGTAACTTTTGTCTGATTGTGTAACTTTTGTCTGATTGTGTAACTTTTGTCTGATTGTGTAACTTTTGTCTGATTGTGTAACTTTTGTCTGATTGTGTAACTTTTGTCTGATTGTGTAACTTTTGTCTGATTGTGTAACTTTTGTCTGATTGTGTAACTTTTGTCTGATTGTGTAACTTTTGTCTGCTGCAGGAGATCTGTGGCAACCCTGAGTGGATCTCTGCTGGAGCCAGCAGGTTTGATGTCAAACAGGGGGAGTTGGGTAAGTTTGGCTCGTGGTGCTGTGGGGGAGGGGGGTTGGCTCATGGTGCTGTGGGGGTGGGGGGTTGGCTCCTTGGTGCTGTGGGGGGGGGGGGTTGGCTCCTTGGTGCTGTGGGGGGGGGGTTGGCTCCTTGGTGCTGTGGGGGGGGAGGGTGGGGGTTGGCTCCTTGGTGGTGTTGGGGGTGGGGGTTGGCTCCTTGGTGCTGTGCGGGGATGGGGGTTGGCTCCTTGGTGCTGTGGGGGGTGGGGAGGGTGGGGGTTGGCTCCTTGGTGGTGTGGGGGGAGGGGGGTTGGCTCCTTGGTGCAGTGGGGGATGGGTGAGGAGGGTGGGGAGGTTGGGGGTTGGCTCCTTGGTGGTGTGGGGGGAGGGAGGTTGGCTCCTTGGTGCAGTGGGGGGGATGGGGGTTGGCTCCTTGGTGCTGTGGGGGGAGGGGGGGTTGGCTTCTTGGTGCAGTGGGGGGGGGGGAGGGGGGGTTGGCTCCTTGCTGCTGTGGGGGGAGGGGGTTGGCTCCTTGGTGCAGTGGGGGGAGGGGGGTTGCTCCTTGGTGCAGTGGGGGAATGGGGGGTGGCTTCTTGGTGCTGGGGGGGGGGGGGGGTTGGCTCCTTGGTGCTGTGGGGGGGGGGGGAGGGGGGGTTGGCTTCTTGGTGCAGTGTGGATGGGGAAGGGGGGTTGGCTCCTTGGTACTGTGGGGGGGAAGGGGGTTGGCTCCTTGGTGCAGTGGGGGGGAGGGGGTTGCTCCTTGGTGCAGTGGGGGGGGATGGGGTTTGGCTTCTTGGTTCTGGGGGGGGGGGGTTGGCTCCTTGGTGCTGTGGGGGGAAGGGGGTTGGCTCCCTGGTGCTGTGGGGGGAGGGGGGTTGGCTCCTTGGTGCTGTGGGGGAGGGGGGTTGGCTCCTTGGTGCTGTGGGGATGGGGAAGGCGGGTTGGCTCCTTGGTGCGGTGGGGGATGGGGGTTGGCTCCTTGGTGCTGTGGGGGAAGGTGGGTTGGCTCCTTGGTGCTGTGGGGGGTGGGGAAGGCGGGTTGGCTCCTTGGTGCGGTGGGGGATGGGGGTTGGCTCCTTGGTGCGGTGGGGGATGGGGGTTGGCTCCTTGGTGCTGTGGGTGAAGGTGGGTTGGCTCCTTGGTGCTGTGGGGGTTGGGGGAGGGTTACATGGGCGTCTGTATAGTTTGTAGCAATGATAAGTTGTAGGCTTAGCATTTTCTGTTGAAATATAGACCTCAGATATAGACTCCAGATTTAGACCTCAGACAGCAACCCATGGCACAAACTTCAGACATAGACCTCAGATTTAGAGAGACTTTAAACCTGAGACATAAATACTTTGTGGTTGTTCCACACCTCTGATTGTGGTTGTTCCACACCTGTGATTGTGGTTGTTCCACACCTCTGATTGTGGTTGTTCCACACCTGTGATTGTGGTTGTTCCACACCTCTGATTGTGGTTGTTCCACACCTCTGATTGTGGTTGTTCCACACCTGTGATTGTGGTTGTTCCACACCTGTGATTGTGGTTGCTCCACACCTCTGATTGTGGTTGTTCCACACCTCTGATTGTGGTTGTTCCACACCTGTGATTGTGGTTGTTCCACACCTCTGATTGTGGTTGTTCCACACCTGTGATTGTGGTTGTTCCACACCTGTGATTGTGGTTGTTCCACACCTCTGATTGTGGTTGTTCCACACCTCTGATTGTTTCCTTTGTTTTTTACCTGGCTGTAGGTGACTGCTGGCTTCTGGCAGCTGTGGCATCTCTCACCTGTAACCAGAAACTCTTCGACCATGTGGTGGAACCTAACCAGTCCTTTACCTCAGACTACTGTGGGCTGTTTAAGTAAGTACAGCTAACCCTAACCGGTCCTTTACCTCAGACTACTGTGGGCTGTTTAAGTAAGTACAGCTAACCCTAACCGGTCCTTTAGCTCAGACTACTGTGGGCTGTTTAAGTAAGTACAGCTAACCCTAACCGGTCCTTTACCTCAGACTACTGTGGGCTGTTTAAGTAAGTACAGCTAACCCTAACCGGTCCTTTAGCTCAGACTACTGTGGGCTGTTTAAGTAAGTACAGCTAACCCTAACCGGTCCTTTAGCTCAGACTACTGTGGGCTGTTTAAGTAAGTACAGCTAACCCTAACCGGTCCTTTAGCTCAGACTACTGTGGGCTGTTTAAGTAAGTAGAGCTAACCCTAACCGGTCCTTTAGCTCAGACTACTGTGGGCTGTTTAAGTAAGTACAGCTAACCCTAACCAATCCTTTGCCCCCTGACTACTGTGGTCTGTTTAAGTAAGTACACATATTAGCAACACAAACATATTAAACATTGAATCAAACACACATAGAAACAATAAGGCTTTGTTTTTGTATCTAATGAAGATTTCACAAAGATGTTCTCAAAAATGGAGAGATTTCAATAAATATCAAGTGAATATCTACTGCATTGTACCAACCGATTCAGTTAACTATTTTCAAGTTGTAAAATAATGTAATTACCAAAACAAAGAGTATTTAACATCAAAAGTTTGTTTATGATTCCACCTTAAAAATATCTAAATATGTTATTTAAAAAGTAGGCCTACTAAAACTAAAATAAAGCTTTACTACAAGTCATGTTACTTGAAGAATTCTTATAAAAAATCTGGCCATTCTATTTTCTAAAATTGTTTTGTTGTCCTCAGATTCAACTTTTGGCACCAAGGTGATTGGCAAGAAGTTGTTGTTGATGACAGGCTACCCACCTACAAGAACCAACTGGTCTTCATGCACTCTACAGAGAAGAATGAGTTTTGGAGCGCTCTGCTAGAGAAGGCTTATGCCAAGTAATTACAATGGGATCATTATCTATTGAGAAATATTTTAATGCAACTAATTAAAACACGATAAGATCTAAAAAAAAAGGCAGATCTACTTTTTTTTATCGAAAAAAAAATTTAAAATTTAATATACAACTTTTGTCAACATTAAACAAAAAAGAAAAACAATTAATAATAACATTTAATAACATATAAACAAGTTAAAACTCTTTTTTTAAAAGATACAACTTTATGGAGTCACCGAAAGTTTAACAACAATTAAAATCAGAACTTGCTCCATGTTTCAGGCTGATGGGCTCCTATGAATCCCTGAAAGGTGGCAGCACCAGTGAAGCCATGGAGGACTTTACTGGGGGTGTGACGGAGATGTTTGACCTGCCGAAAGCCCCAGCTAACCTGCTACAGATCATGCTCAAAGCCCACGAGCGCGGCTCTCTGATGGGCTGCTCCATTGATGTAAGTAGGTGATGTAATGGCTCTCTATTGGGCTGTTCCATTGATGTAAGTAGGTGATGTAATGGCTCTCTGATTGGATACTCCATTGATGTAAGTAGGTGATGTAATGGTTCTCTAATGGGATGCTCATGCTCCATTGATGTAAGTAGGTGATGTAATGGCTCTCTCATGGGCTGCTCCATTGATGTAAGTAGATGATGTAATGGCTCTCTGATGGGATGCTCCATTGATGTAAGTAGGTGATGTAATGGCTCTCTATTGGGCTGTTCCATTGATGTAAGTAGATGATGTAATGGCTCTCTGATTGGATACTCTATTGATGTAAGTAGATGATGTAATGGCTCTCTGATTGGATACTCCATTGATGTAAGTAGATGATGTAATGGCTCTCTGATGGGATGCTCCATTGATGTAAGTAGATGATGTAATGGCTCTCTGATTGGATACTCCATTGATGTAAGTAGATGATGTAATGGCTCTCTGATTGGATACTCCATTGATGTAAGTAGGTGATGTAATGGCTCTCTGATGGGATGCTCCATTGATGTAAGTAGATGATGTAATGGCTCTCTGATTGGATACTCCATTGATGTAAGTAGGTGATGTAATGGCTCTCTGATGGGATGCTCAAGTTTGTGTTATCTATGTTTTAAGTTGTATTATTGAATTTAGGCAGATCCTGGTAAGGTTGAGTGAATTATAACAGTAGCCCATACTCTGTTTTAGGCTGATCCTGGTAAGATTGAGGCAGAGCTAGCCAATGGTTTGATCATGGGACACGCCTACAGTATTACAAGTGTTCAGCTGGTGGGTACTGCTCTAAACCTTCTCACAATTAGCTCGAGTTAACCAGCATTCTTCGTTTCATTCATTCCAAACTAGTTTTAAAATATGTCTTTATTTACTTTTTGTTTCACTGGTTTAGAAAATCTGCAGTTTAGCTGGTTTAGTGATCATCTGTAAATTATTCCTTTAGACCAAACAATCATTTTCTGTATGTTAGACCACCAGCCCAATTTCATTGCTAACAAGTGTTCATTATTTAATGCACAGCATATTAAACTCAATTTTTTTCTTTGTATTTCAGGCAGATATCCAGACCCCAAGAATGAAAGGGCAGATCCCTATGGTGAGGATTAGAAACCCCTGGGGCAATGGCTCGGAATGGAAAGGAGCTTGGTCTGATGGGTCAGTTTATTTCACAAGTTAAAACTTGGCAGTTTTTTGTAAACAATCAACATCTATTTTTAGTTTTTACTCATTCTTGTCAATACATCTTCAATCTTCAATTATGTGCAAAATGTTTTCAGCTCAAGAGAATGGAGTTTACTTTCAGAAGATGAGAAGAAAGAGCTTGGTCTCAACTTTGATGATGATGGTGAATTTTGGTAAAACATAGTTACTTTTTTGTACAAATTTTGTTTTTGTGTAATATTAACGTAAATGTATATCTTTTGAATAAGCTAGATCAGATCAGTTAAACATCTTGAGTTTTGAATAAGTTTAACCACATGAGTTTAACTTGAAGTAGAAATGAGATGTCCTGACATGCTCCCAACACATTGTTAAAATCCTCCAACATGATCTCTGCTCAGGATGTCCTTCCAAGACTTCATAACCAACTTCCAAAAGTTGGAGATCTGCAACTTGGGACCTGACTCACTGGACGAGGATGACCTGTCCAACAAAAAGAAATGGGAGTGTTTTAAAGAACACGGAAACTGGATCAGGAGGGTCAACGCTGGAGGCTGTAGAAATTATTTAGGTTTGTTGATATGGCGCTGTAGAAATTATTTAGGTTTGTTGAGGTGGCGCTGTAGAAATTATTTAGGTTTGTTGACGTGGTGCTGTAGAAATTATTTAGGTTTGTTGACGTGGCGCTGTAGAAATTATTTAGGTTTGTTGAGGTGGCGCTGTAGAAATTATTTAGGTTTGTTGACGTGGGGCTGTAGAAATTATTTAGGTTTGTTGACGTGGCGCTGTAGAAATTATTTAGGTTTGTTGAGGTGGCGCTGTAGAAATTATTTAGGTTTGTTGACGTGGGGCTGTAGAAATTATTTAGGTTTGTTGACGTGGGGCTGTAGAAATTATTTAGGTTTGTTGAGGTGGCGCTGTAGAAATTATTTAGGTTTGTTGACGTGGGGCTGTAGAAATTATTTAGGTTTGTTGACGTGGGGCTGTAGAAATTATTTAGGTTTGTTGAGGTGGCGCTGTAGAAATTATTTAGGTTTGTTGACGGGGGCTGTAGAAATTATTTAGGTTTGTTGACATGGGGCTGTAGAAATTATTTAGGTTTGTTGATATGGCGCTGTAGAAATTATTTAGGTTTGTTGACGTGGCGCTGTAGAAATTATTTAGGTTTGTTGACGTGGAAGCTTTTCTAACAGGATGTAATGTCAATTTGTTTGTGGTGGAACTTTGAAAAGATTATTCCAACCACATGCCATAGGTTTTATTATGAAAATATATTCACGTCAGTTGTTGGCTAAACACTTCTTTGAAACATGGAGTTTCATTTCAACATACAGCTCATAATCTAATTGAATGACTCAATAGAAATTTTAAAGCTTTTAATTTTTAAAATTTAGTAATAATTGAAATGTGAGCTTGGGGACGGCGTGGCCTAGTGGTAGAACACTTGACTGCAAACACAAAAGTCCTGAGTTTATATTAAGGTTCTAGTCAGTTGAACATCCACCCAGCTCTGATGGGTACCTAACTCACGTTAGGGAAAGTAAAGGCGGCTGGGCACTGCGCTAACCACACTATCTCTTCATATGCCGAGGTCACAGAAACAAGTGAACTCTACTTCACTTGCCCCATAGACTTTCAGGTTCAAAAAGGCCTAAGTAGTGTGGTGTGGTGTGAAATATGAGCTTGTAAAGTCAAGTCACAAAATCATAAAAAAACATTTGAAACTTTATGACTGTATGTAAACACAAGCACCTAATTTCTATGTTTTCCAGAAACATTTTGGACAAATCCCCAATTTCGCATGACATTAACTGATGTGGATGAGAATGATGGCGATGATCTTTGTACAGCTATTGTTGCTGTGCTGCAGAAGGACAGGAGAAAGAAAAGAAAGGAAGGATTAGATCTCCTTACTATAGGTTACGTCATCTATAAGGTGTGTCATTTGGTTATGTCATCTATAAGGTGTGTCATTTGGTTATGTCATCTATAAGGTGTGTCATTTGGTTACGTCATCTATAAGGTGTGTCATTTGGTTATGTCATCTATAAGGTGTGTCATTTGGTTATGTCATCTATAAGGTGTGTCATTTGGTTATGTCATCTATAAGGTGTGTCATTTGGTTACGTCATCTATAAGGTGTGTCATTTGGTTATGTCATCTATAAGGTATATGTGTACATATTTTTCTATAATAAGTCATTTCAGAACAACTGTCATCAATATATTTATTCGCTAGAGAAATATTTTTCTATAACAAGTCATCTCAGAACAACTGCCATCAATATATTTATTCCCTAGAGAAATATTTTTCTATAACAAGTCATTTCAGAACAACTGCCATCAATATATTTATTCCTCTAGAGAAATATTTTTCTATAACAAGTCATTTCAGAACAACTGCCATCAATATATTTATTCCTCTAGAGAAATATTTTTCTATAACAAGTCATTTCAGAACAACTGCCATCAATATATTTATTCCCTAGAGAAATATTTTTCTATAACAAGTCATTTCAGAACAACTGCCATCAATATATTTATTCCTCTAGAGAAATATTTTTCTATAACAAGTCATTTCAGAACAACTGCCATCAATATATTTATTCCCTAGAGAAATATTTTTCTATAACAAGTCATTTCAGAACAACTGCCATCAATATATTTATTCCCTAGAGAAATATTTTTCTATAACAAGTTATTTCAGAACAACTGCCATCAATATATTTATTCCCTAGAGAAATATTTTTCTATAACAAGTCCATTTCCAATGTTTTTCCCAGCTGGAAGATCCAAACTGTGGACCACTGGACATGAAGTTTTTCAAATACAACGCATCAGTTGCTAAATCCCCAACCTTCATCAACATGAGAGAAATTTGTGGACGACACAAGCTCCCCCCTGGAACTTATGCCATTGTGCCATCAACTTTTGAACCTCACTATGAAGGAGAATTCCTGATGAGAATCTTCACTGAGAAGGCCAACATTTCAGGGTATGTAATGTTGTAGATATAAGTTAATTATGAAAAAAATAGAAATAAATTGTACATTTGTCTTGAGATTATTATATTTATGTGGTTGTTAAGTATTTTCTGTTATGTGATTAAAATATTGAAACTATGCCATAAAGCAGCTAGGATAAAGTAGTTGTAATATGCAATTAAATGCTTCTATCAACATGTTCAGTTTTAAATTCAAAATTATTAGTTTTTACTTTTTAAAACAAGATTTGATATTACATCCACAATTTTTAACCACTTAAAGTTAGATGTAGAATACAATTTTAAAAAAAACAACTAAAAAACCCTCTAAGGAAACTTGTGATGTTGCATTCATATCTGTGTACCAATACATTAGATAAAAACAACTAAAAAACCCTCTAAGGAAACCTGTGATGTTGCATTCATATCTGTGTACCAATACATTAGATAAAAACAACTAAAAAACCCTCTAAGGAAACTTGTGATGTTGCATTCATATCTGTGTACCAATACATTAGATAAAAACAACTAAAAAACCCTCTAAGGAAACTTGTGATGTTGCATTCATATCTGTGTACCAATACATTAGATAAAAACAATTAAAGAACCCTCTAAGGAAACCTGTGATGTTGCATTCATATCTGTGTACCAATACATTAGATAAAAACAACTAAAAAACCCTCTAAGGAAACTTGTGATGTTGCATTCATATCTGTGTACCAATACATTAGATAAAAACAACTAAAAAACCCTCTAAGGAAACTTGTGATGTTGCATTCATATCTGTGTACCAATACATTAGATAAAAACAACTAAAAAACCCTCTAAGGAAACCTGTGATGTTGCATTCATATCTGTGTACCAATACATTAGATAAAAACAACAAAAAAACCCTCTAAGGAAACTTGTGATGTTGCATTCATATCTGTGTACCAATACATTAGATAAAAACAACTAAAGAACCCTCTAAGGAAACCTGTGATGTTGCATTCATATCTGTGTACCAATACATTAGATAAAAACAACAAAAAAACCCTCTAAGGAAACCTGTGATGTTGCATTCATATCTGTGTACCAATACATTAGATAAAAACAACAAAAAAACCCTCTAAGGAAACTTGTGATGTTGCATTCATATCTGTGTACCAATACATTAGATAAAAACAACTAAAAAACCCTCTAAGGAAACTTGTGATGTTGCATTCATATCTGTGTACCAATACATTAGATAAAAACAACTAAAAAACCCTCTAAGGAAACTTGTGATGTTGCATTCATATCTGTGTACCAATACATTAGATAAAAACAATTAAAGAACCCTCTAAGGAAACCTGTGATGTTGCATTCATATCTGTGTACCAATACATTAGATAAAAACAACTAAAAAACCCTCTAAGGAAACTTGTGATGTTGCATTCATATCTGTGTACCAATACATTAGATAAAAACAACTAAAAAACCCTCTAAGGAAACTTGTGATGTTGCATTCATATCTGTGTACCAATACATTAGATAAAAACAACAAAAAAACCCTCTAAGGAAACTTGTGATGTTGCATTCATATCTGTGTACCAATACATTAGATAAAAACAACAAAAAAACCCTCTAAGGAAACTTGTGATGTTGCATTCATATCTGTGTACCAATACATTAGATAAAAACAACTAAAAAACCCTCTAAGGAAACTTGTGATGTTGCATTCATATCTGTGTACCAATACATTAGATAAAAACAACAAAAAAACCCTCTAAGGAAACTTGTGATGTTGCATTCATATCTGTGTACCAATACATTAGATAAAAACAACAAAAAAACCCTCTAAGGAAACTTGTGATGTTGCATTCATATCTGTGTACCAATACATTAGATAAAAACAAGTAAAAAACCCTCTAAGGAAACTTGTGATGTTGCATTCATATCTGTGTACCAATACATTAGATAAAAACAATTAAAGAACCCTCTAAGGAAACCTGTGATGTTGCATTCATATCTGTGTACCAATACATTAGATAAAAACAACTAAAAAACCCTCTAAGGAAACTTGTGATGTTGCATTCATATCTGTGTACCAATACATTAGATAAAAACAACTAAAAAACCCTCTAAGGAAACTTGTGATGTTGCATTCATATCTGTGTACCAATACATTAGATAAAAACAACTAAAAAACCCTCTAAGGAAACTTGTGATGTTGCATTCATATCTGTGTACCAATACATTAGATAAAAACAACTAAAAAACCCTCTAAGGAAACTTGTGATGTTGCATTCATATCTGTGTACCAATACATTAGATAAAAACAACAAAAAAACCCTCTAAGGAAACCTGTGATGTTGCATTCATATCTGTGTACCAATACATTAGATAAAAACAACTAAAAAACCCTCTAAGGAAACCTGTGATGTTGCATTCATATCTGTGTACCAATACATTAGATCTGAAGATCCAGATAGTCCTAAGCATGGTGAAGGGAAGTAAGTCTGCAAGGTTTTGTTTACATGGGATTTCCAATCTTCCCCACTCTGTACTTGTGTGTACATTCAACACATTACTATTTACTTGGATAGAAACGATCAGTCAAAACATAATGCTTGCCATGATAAGCTCACCTAAATGTTATCCTTTTTTTCTCTCTTCACATTTTGTGCGTATTTCATAGTATAAGCTTATTACTTTTTCTAATAAATGTAGCTTACAATTTTCAAAAAAATTAATTCTGCAAAACTAAGTTGACTATGAAATTTTGCACAATTTTAATCCATAATCCAATACTTGAATCTGATGTTTTTGAGATGTGGTGTGTTTATGTGCTGTGTTTTTCTAAATTCCTACGTGGGGTGGCTTTGAAATATTTTTTCAACTTAAAAAGTTTGTGTAGTTCAATGTATTTAAAAGCCAGATATTTCATGATTTTGAACAGACAAGGGAAAGAAATATGTTTAGCCACAAGTGTGTTGAAATATGCAATGACTGTGAATCTCTTAAAAAAAAAAAGTTTACTTTAATAACATACCTTGCTTGATGTGCTATGTGATTTCTTGCTTTAACTAATTATTTCTTTTAACCCTGTGATTATTATTTTAATATAACTTCTTCAAAATATTTTATTATTATTTTTAACTTTCCTACCTGTGGAAATTAATTCTCATTTGTTTTTAAAGCATTAGTTTCCAAAATTTACAATGAATAAATGTTGATTTTTTTTAAATTTTATTTTTTCACCAACTTTAAATTGCTTTTACTTTTCTTGATGGTCTCGGTGACTTGCTTGTATCAGTCTTGTAACTGTATTTTAATTTGTCTACTATTTATATCATTTGTAACATTTATTTTCAGAGAGATTGATGAACAGACTAGGCTGGATGAAGATACTGTAAGTCATTTTATCTTTGAATTTTTTATTTAATGAAATTATTCAAATCAAAATTAAATGTGACGCACATGTAAATTGGCCTACAATGATTAAAGACAACTTTCCTTTAATGTTAGTTGTTCACATTTCACAAAGTAGTATGATCTGTAATTTTCTTTTATAAAATATCTAATTTAATCACTGGATTTTTTTTCCGATTTTCTAAGATAAAAATTTTCAGTATTGATTTCAATTTTTTTTAAAAACATCAAATTTGTTTTGAGATTTAATAAGTGTCTTAAATTTTTCTCACTGATCATGAAAAATGTTCTTACCAAATTTTCTACCTCCAAACCCCATGTTTACTACTACACAACTACTAAAAAAAAATAAAACTTGATGTTTACATGAGAATCTCTAAATTCACAGCTCTCATACCAAAATATATAAACTTGATGTTTACATGAGAATCTCTAAATTCTCACCTTAGGTGTTCTAGTCACATGTCGTGTATCTTGTTGAAATACCAGCATTGGTTTTGTTCTTGTTGTCCAGAATTGTTCTACAAATTAACCTCCTATCATATGTTTGATGTCATTATTTATTTCAACCTGTTCTGTTCAGTGCACTCCATTATGGTTGCATCCAAGCCCAGTTGGAACTCACCAATATTTTTGTTACCTTGTGTTTTATGTAACCAAATATTTATCTTTTTATTTTGAAATGGTTTCATACATATAAACTTAGCCTTGATGGATGCCAACAATTGGTGTAATAATAATTTTGTTTCTCTCATGAACCTCATCTGCGTCTTTTAGTTAGCCCCGCCAGAGCCCCAGAGGCCAGCAGTAAGTTGCTTGTGTTTGTGGTGGAGTTGAGGACATGTTTTATCCCTGAGATTTGTTCATGCTCAACTTATCCCTGAGATTTGTTCATGCTCAACTTGTGTTTTTTTTTCTTATAAATGATGAAGTTTTAAAAATAGATTACAACTAGTTTGATATTTGGTGATTGACTGTCCAATTTTTAAAAAAAACGCAGTAAGTTTTAATAAGCATGTTTGATCCCCCGTCCTCACAGAATAAAATAAAGAAACTGCGATGGACAGTTGATGGTCTTTGTTTCCCACTAACCTTCTTATATCTGAGGAAAATTTCTTTTTGCTGTGGAAAATTGACACTATTAAGTTTAGGTTTGAATTTCCAAAATGTGAAATTTGTGGTAAAATGAGTTGTGAATAAGTTTGAATAAAATTGCTGTGATTTAACTGTCAGCTGTTTCGGGCCCATATTTTCAGGTGTTTTTATTGACCAGCATGTAGTTTGGTGGTCACAAGAGTTCTTTCCCCTGTTAACAACCTTTTCTAAAAATTGACCCAGATGGAATTTTTCCATTTTTTCCATTTTGCTTGATGTGGTGATTTCCTTTAGCAGTCTAAAATTACTGTTTGCTTAAAAAAGTTTTTTCTACAGTTTCATAAAAACTAATTGGCATTTGCTTTTCTTAGCAGTAAATTTGTGTGGTCAACAATTGAAAAATTTATTGATCACATTAAAAATTCTGTTAGTTTTTATATAATGATTTAATTTTATAATTAAATATTCTGAAAAAATAGAAGGAGCAAGAGGTTGGACCAATCTTAATTTATTGTTTGGCATTTGTAAAATTAGTTTCAATCTTCCTGTCAATGAGATTCATGTTTGACTTGTTTCATCTCTCCTGGGCAAAGATGAAGTTTTCTCAGCTCGTCGAGCAGCCCCAGCTTGTTCTGCTCCTAAGGTAGAGCTGATGTTTGTTAGATGTGATCAACCCTTTCTTCGTGGTATTTCACGCTCATATTCCCAGCTCAGTTTTTTCTTTGCAGTGATTTGCAGCTAAAAGTCTAAAATTGGAAGATACTGACTTGTGTGATGGTTTTGTTTTCTTCAAGATTAACTGAGTTTTTTAACACAAGTTTATTCTTCTAAAAACTGCAGAAAATGCTTCTGAAGCAGTTAATCAATTTTTTTTATTAACATTGGTTTTTATTGTTCTCAATTTCTGAATTTTGTAGGCCAAAAATGGTCCCGGAAAAGGAAAAGTAAGTTGTAAATGTAGGCATGGATTAAGATAACAATCTGTGCTTACTTTTTAAGCATTTTAACAGGAGTGGCCAAATTTAAAAAAAAAAATGGTGTTGATCATTTTAATATTTGGTTGGAAATTTTTTTTATTAAGGTTTGATTTTTAATTTAATTTTTGTTGAGTGTTTTGGAGTTCTATTCAACTTTTGGCTTCTGGTTTAACCAGGTAAGCATGGACATTGGGGCAGTTCAGTTTATTTTTCTGTTTCATTCACTGAGCATGTTGACTGTCAAATGTTTAATAGTTTAATCATATTCAACATAAATTTGATTCATCCATGGTTGTCAAATATGTTTTGATTTTATAAGACTTAACAGTTTGTTTCATATCGTGACTACTAATTCTAGTTTTGGATTAACTTGAAGGATTTGTGTGTTATGAGGTTATCTAAATAAAATATTTTAAATGTGGTGTGATTTGTTTCACATTTTCAAGACCTACACTATTAGGCCTATACACAAAAGTTAATTAAGATCAATTAAAACTTTCTCAGTTTCTAGTTCTTGGTGTATATTTTTCAGAGGATTGGATTGCATGGTTTATAAAGATATCTTTTCAGTTTTTAATCTTTATAATGTGGGACTTTTTTCTTTTTTTTTGCACAATTTGCAATTTTAAAAAAGTTCCAAGTTACCAATCATTTAATTTTTCAAAGCATTACTTATGTGCAAAATGCTACATACACTCTTTTATCACTATTTCCACATTAAACTGGCTAATTATAACTGAAGAAATGTGAAAGATCATGTTGTGCTAGTTGTATGAGTTGTTTCTATGTGACATAGTTCAGTTTTTGTTCTGTTCAATGTCTGAATGACATGACAACCTCTAACACTCGTGTCTAGGAAGATGCTAATCACAACAAAAAGAAACCTAAAGAACATACAGACAAGGTTCAGTTTGAGGATTTCTTTATTATTTTCTACATTTTGCTTCTAACCAATTAAATCACCAGCTTTTAGCTGTCTTATTAAGAAAAAGAATTTATTAGCTTTTACTTGGTGTAATTATATTTGTTCCAGTGTCATCTTATTTCAAAAGATTATTTAGATTGTTTTCAAATAACATGAAATTAAATAATTTTTTACTCATATTTTTGTTTTGATCAGAAAATCAGAATAAAGTATTTATCAGTGTAATCTTTTCAAAGAAAAAAGATATACTTCAAACTTTCAAATTTTATGCAAAGGCGTATGAATTACATTTTTATAAATATTTTAAATAGAAAAAAATCTGCACAGGCAGGTAAAAATACCTGTCTTATTTTAAGCCAGAGATGCATTAACTGTAAGAAATAAAAGCTGGTCATTGATTGGTTACTTTTTGCAACACAACTTCATTGTGTAATTTTTCATCTGCACTAGTGAAATATTTATCAAGAACAGCCAGAAATATAATAGCATATATTGCTTTCTTTTTAAAAAATGTTGACAATAATTCAAATTTTTAACAATACAAAACACACTTCAGGTAGCATTTGCTAGTAGCATTTCTCAAAACCTGGTCTAAACATTTTAAATCATGGTCTTGCTCTAATAATGCTTGTTTTTTCTAACAGTTATCTTCAAAATCAAAGGAAAATATAGTTGAGCTATGTGTTATAATAACTAGAGTCAAAGCCTCGCTGAACAAGAAAAATTTTAGCTTCACAATAATTATATCTTCTGAAATCATATCTGAAATCTGATATCATAAATGAACTCTTTAAAAAACATTAAAAGCATTCCTAATAATTGTAAATCTTGAGATTTGAAGAAAACTGTTGAGTCATATCATGTATTATATCTTGTTCATAATTTGAAATTCAGGTGCATAACCTATTTTTTTTTCTACTCTTTATTTAAAACATATTTTGTTTCATACTATTTACTACTGCGATTTTTAAATATGTAATTGAAATTTTAAAATATGATTATAAATGACACTTAGCAACAATTTTATATTCATTGCTTTAATACTAAACATGCAGAAATTACTATTTGTTTACTAATAACTTCATTAATCTCTAATACAATTTTCTTTTGCTGTAAAGAGACAACATACACATTTATTTTGAAACACATTCAATTCTTTTCATTTCAAATTTGAGTTAATTACAATGTTTCCTTATCATTTACAAATGTCTTTAAATGACTATATTTTTTTATGTGGGACTAAATCTATTTGACAACTTCATATACCTTTTTTAAATTGTAATAACATTGATTTATATTTTCCTGTGAAAGACATTCATAAAAACATTAATTAGCAGTAATTTTGAAAAGTTATTCATATTACATGTAGAATCTATGACTAACCTTGGTTTACATACAGTATACATGATGGTTAACATTAAAAAAATCCTGGTGTAAATGTTGTATCAGAAACTTTTTTTCTGTTGTAATAACCTCTGAGCCTCTTGCAGCATAACCCACTTTTGGTTACTTTCCTCTTGTTGAAGGTCTAGTTTTAAAATAACAGTAGTTCATTATTTTTCATTCCACTTAAAACATTCAAGTTTATTTTTTTAAATAATGTTTTATTTAGTTTATTTCATTAATTTTATCTTTATGTTAATTTTTAAGTTGTCTTCAAGTTTAGCAAAAACATTTGATAATAAATGACTAATAGAACCCCACTTTACAAGAGACAAGTGTGGCCTAGAAGCAGTGAATGAACAAAAGTGTGTGTTTGTGGTCTGTAACATTTTGATGTACTTGCAGGAGCGTCCAGCACCAAATGAACAAGAGAAGGCACAAGCTGATGCTCTCAAACAAAGTTTCCGTCGCATCGCAGGCGAGGACATGGAGATTGATGCTTACGAGTTGCAGGATATTCTCAACACTGTCTTCACAAAAGGTATTATATTCATACAGTGCAGATTACATTTTGTTTATTCTTGAAACTTTTGCTAGTCATGTCATTAAATTACATTTTATAATTATTACTATATTTCATAGCTTTTAAGCTTTTAAAAAAATTGACAATTTCCCCACCCAAAAAAACCCAATATATTGTTACATCTATATCTAGTTTTAAAATTATTATTTAGTCACCTTTTGTTTAATTGGATTTTGGTTATAAGCAAGCTTTAAATTAATTATGAAAAAAAAATGTATAGTTGCAGAATGTATGTGGATTTTTATTTCTTTTTTCGAATTTTACATATCCGTTGAGAACAATAACAGGAGTCATTTTTTCAGGAGCAGCTTGTGTCAGTTCTTGTGCTAGGGGGGCAATCTTTTGATTCCTCCTTCAATAATTTCCTAAAACCTACAAAACCACAACAAAAAAACTGTTGTACAAACAGCTCAATCACCACTAATCTTGAGATTTTAACTTACTCTTCCTGTGAAGTTTTAACATCTATGTTTTAGTAGAATTAACATCCTCAGTTACAATGGTAGCCAGGGTTTTATACATCACTCTTAACTGGCACTAAAACAAACTAATACTTTACATATCTTGTTGCATGTCACTTGTGTTGTCTGGAGTTTCCCTGTGTTTAAAGTTAAGTTCAATGACATTGTGGGTAGATGGGTTGTTTCCTGTTGTTTTGTAACTCTCTACTGGTAAAAACTACAATAAACCAACTTTAAAAATTGTGTTTATCTGAACACTTTCTCTTTTTGTGTGCTGGATTTGTTCTATCAGCACTAAGATGCTACTTTCAACAATAGTTCAAACACATAGTCAAGATAATAGTTCAAGTTTTAGGCAGTTGCATGCAATACATTTGTTTTACTTTAACTAAATCATATAATTACATTTCTATTTCGACTTTGAAGAAAATTTCTATTATTTTTTACTCATTCAAAAGCTTTTGGAATGTTATTCTTTATGTGAAAATTTTCTTATCTTTGCTAGACACATTTGTTTTTTTAACTTAGCATGTCTGACTGAATATCAAACAAAACAAATACAGTATCCTTGTGACAGATATTTGTGTTTAATACACATCTAAGCAGTAAAAAAGTAATCTACGCCATTGTGTTGTATAACTGAGTGTATATCATGTAATAACATTCCTTGTGTGATTTTTGCTGCTGTTTTCCAGAGGATGTCATGGGTAAGCTGTTGATGCTCACACTGTTAATCCAATGGCCCAGGCTTTTCTTACTAATATTTTGTTCAATCAAATCACTTCATGTTTAGTTACTCTTGTTATTTTTAGACACAATATGTTAAGGGTTGACTCATTATTTCTATTGCATTTTGATTTGAGGGAAGAGGAAATCATTTTGTTAAAAAGATTGTTTTTTAAAAAAAAGAAATGGTTCAGTTATTTACAGTAGGACTATTTAAATTATATTCTTATATATTTTGAAAAAAAAAATCAAGTGTTATAGCTTCTTTAAAACATGTTCTTAAAACTAAAATTAAATTGACAGCATGTCTAAAGAAACTTAAAAAGATTTTTAAGAGAATGGAAAGAGTAAAGGTGTACACTACAGTAGCAAGTGTAATCTTTTGTTTACAAAAAGATTCAAACAAGATTTAAGGGCCTTGAATTAAATGTTCACTGCATAAATAAAAAAGTAGATGTTTAGTTAGCTTTATCATTATGCTTGTAGTTGTATTATGTACACAATATTTATTTCATACAGTGGACCAAGACTCTTACATTTAACTCTAATATTAATGGATGGAAGAGCTCTTTTCTTTTGACTAACAGACTTTTATTTACTATAGGCGCTAACCTTGGATTGAATATTTCCTGTTTTCACACTGTTCTTATGCTTTACTCTTTTTTTATTGATACAATTTTTTAATGCAGTGGCAAAAAATAGATTTTTATCAGTTAAAAAATTATTATTTTATTTTTTTCAATTCAGCTCCTCTCTTTTGGTTGGCAGAAAGCAGAGTTTTGTTTACTGTTCTAATAAATTCATGATATTTTACATCAAAACCTTTTTGTCAGTTAAAATTGCATGTTTTATTTATTAATGTAGCATAATAATATTTTAATTTTTAGTTTCCTTTAGTCTTATAAAATGTATTTCAAGTCTTGGACCAAGAATTTTTATGGTGCAGCTTCTTCTAACTTTATTATCTTTAATTTACTATTTTTTCCCTTTAAACATATTTAACATTGGCACAAAGATATGTCAGTCATTTATGTTAATAAGTGAGGTAGCCTGCCTGATACAATAGTTTTAACAGCCCTATTATCAAGCTGTTTAACAAAATCTCTTCAGATTAAATTCAGTTTGAAAAATGTATATTAAAAACTTAAATCTAAATCAGCTCAACTTGTAAAGGTTAATTTTAAATTAATCTGATTATCTTTAAGGTGAAAATAATTGGGTGATTTAATGGTTATGTTTTTACACAAGCCAATTTAGCTCATTGGAGTTGAGCCTATTAACTTTGGTTATTACATTTCATTTGTTTTAGGATTTGATCCCCCCCCCCCCCCATGCCATTTATACAACATTGTCCCCTTACATTGTGTAAACAGCATGAAATAACTTATTATTTTTGTATTGGTGTTCACACTCAGTGTCATGTCAGTAAAGCACAAATCTTTCCTGTGGTAGAGAGTACTTTATTGTAGCAGAAAATAGAAAAAATGTGAAGATACTTTTATGTATTAGAAATCATCTGGTCTAATTGAGTAACTTTATATATAGCCAGCACATTTCTTTTTGTAGCACAGCTCTTAAAGTGCATGCTATATTTTTAATAATTAAAAGAGTAGTTAAAAACTGGAAATATCTTCTAGGAAACAAAAAAACAAACAAATAAGTTTGATAGTGTCATTTGAGTTACTAAAACACTTATGTGTAGATGCAAGTAAGTTGAAAGTTTCTAACAAATAGAAGTTTAAAATGTGACCACCATGAGCAGTAATCCCTACCAACCAGTTAAAAAATGTTTTCATTGAATGTGTTAGCATGTCATATCTGTGAGTGGAATTTATTTAGGACATACAAATTACATTACAGCAGGTCAGCATACATCTAGTCTATTAAATCTTGTAACACAAATATTTTCCTTCCAGAGTTCAAGTTCCCAGGCTTTGGTATTGATACCTGCAGAAGTATGGTGGCGATGCATGATGTATCCTTTTCTTGATAATCTTTGAATTGGAAAGCTTTAAATTTTGATATACAGCCAAGAAGTAAATTAATGAATCTAATAAACACTTAATGTAGGCCAAATGTTGAATCTGTTGTAAAATTAAAACAAATATGTATCAAGCCTAGAAAAACTTTCTTTAACTAGAGCTAGGGCGACCTCTCAGGTAAACTTGGTTATGACGAGTTCAAGGAACTTTGGGAGGACTTGAGAAGATGGAAGGTGAGGGGCCAGATCTTCTTTCTTAGAAACTAAAAAAAAAATTTTTTTTTAAAATGTTTGAACATTTTCATATTGTCATGCCAAGGTTTAACTAGATTGGCATAATTTCAGTTTCACTGATTTAAATAAAATGAAATGTGTTTACCATGTTTTTATTAATGTGCTAGGGAGTCTTCAAGGAGTTTGACAAGGATAACAGTGGAAACCTGTCCTCATATGAGTTGAGAAGTGCATTAAACCATGTTGGTAAGTCACTGTTTAGAAAGTTGATGTGCATTTTCCTTCTATTAAAATTTGTTTTATTTCATCTCATAGAATTTTTAAAAATTGACAGCAATCTTTTTTAAAATATTACATTTTTAAAATTGTTTATAGATAATTAAAGTAATATAATAATTCTGACTACTACATAAAAAAAATGTTTAAATATCTGCCCTAATATCTGTAAAGGTGAGTGTTTGCTAACAAGTGTGTTGACAATTTCAGGTTTCCACGTCAGCAACAGGACCTTCAAATCTCTTGTCATGAGGTACAGCAACAAGAACGGCCAGGTGGACTTTGGAGACTTTATCATGTGCTCCATCAGGCTCAAGACAATGCTGAGTAGGTTCATCACAATACACACCTAGACTTGTTCATCATAATACACACCTGGACTTAGACTTGTTCATCATAATACACACCTGGACTTGTTCATCATAATACACACCTGGACTTTACAGTTCTTTACACAGCTCATCTTTACACACCCTACAGTAGAGATGTAGTTTTTTTTTACAAAGGGAAATAACTTTACCTAAACATCTTACTTTTCAGCTTCCTTCAAGGGACATGACCCGAATAACACTGGCTTGGCTCCTTATGATATTGATAGTGTAAGTATATTAGAAGAGTTGTTGCTAAGATGTGGGCGAATCAGGGAATCCATGCCTTTAGCAATCTGTTGATCAATTTTCCCAGCAACTTGTTAGATTTAAGTTATTTTCCCAAACTAATTACAACTTTAGCTCTAATTAGTGGATAAATCATTTTGTTACATGTTTTATAGCAAATCCAGGACATATGACTCATATTTTTAAACATTTTTAAGATAAATTCCTTTATTTATTTTTTGCAGTTCATTCAAACAACAATGTACTCATAAAATCGAGTTTTACTGTACAATGTTGGCATCCCCTCAAGTCAACTGGCAATGTAATACAAGCAGCGACTGAAGGCTACATAACTGGTTTCATAAATATAGATTTACTATGCTACATCATCATTCATTAATTACATTTAATTACAATTTTTTATTATATTTTATTTTTGTTTTGCTCAAGAATTACATCCTTAGATAAAATGTTTGAGCTCAAAAATTTTAGTCTGTTTTTTTTTTTATTTGCCTTCTCTTAATACTCTAACTTTGTACTGGAAAATATAACCACTAAAGATGATTTTACAAACAGAAAACTGTTACATTTTGTCAACAATATTTAAATTTATTTAAAAAAATCACATAATCATCTAAGATCTGAAAAGTATTTTTAACACTGTTTGAACTTGGAGTCTATGTGAGACAGATACATGATGTGGATGAGAGATAAATTTCTGATCTTTCACAACTAGTTTAAACATGAAACTCAAAGCTAATTTTTTTGCCACAAGTGTTCATAAGCTTTAGAAAAGCAGCTTTAGAACTAGAAATCTTGTTGCATCAATTTAAAATATCCAATAGTATTAAGTTTATCTTCTAAGTCTTTAAAATTAACAATTTGTGCTTTTTTTCCCTTGTGGTTAATTAAGTATTATTTAAGTAAAATTAAGAATATTCTGGATGTTTTTTTTTTCAATATTCCTTTAGCTTGTTTTGTTTATTTAGTTTGGTCTCATGAAAAGATCCTAGTCACCCATAAAGGAAAGATTAGCTTTTGTTGGTATCAATTTAATTTCTTTTCTCCCCCTTCCCCCCCCCCCCCCCCACCTTTGTCACCTTCATGCATATCATCTGTTTGTATTCATTTACTAAAACTCATGTCAATAGCCAACAAATTATCATTAGACGTAGGTTAGAAAAATAAAATATTTGTATATCTGTGTTGTTCTGCTTCAGTAGCAAAGATTGAGATTATCTACAATAAAATATTTGCAATGCATACCAACAATTCAGGTTCCACTGCTCAGATGTAGTGTGTATGTGGAGTTTTTTTTTCCAGATATTTATCCCAAGTTTTATAAAGCATGATCTTGTACATAGATAATTCTTATTATAGACATAGTAGCCCATAGTTTCCAGCAGCAAGAAATATTGAGGATAATGGGATTATTCTTGTAGCAATAAGGATAATGGGATTATTCTTGTAGTTTATTGCTGTTACCTAGCGATGTGATTATTTAACGAGGCATGCATTGCTGTTCTGTGATGTTTTTTTAAACAGCTTTTTTCTGTTTTGTCTCTAAGCATCTGGGTTGTTTTAATCAACTTTTATATCAATTTTTCTGATCAGCTTTTTGATTGTTTTATCTTTTATATTTAAATATGACATTTTAATACTGTCAACTTTAAGAACTGACATTATTTTTTTAAATTACTTTTTATAACTTTTTCTTCCACTTCCTATATTTTTTTAAATTAAAAAATATGAGCAAAAATATAATAAATAAGGATTATGTAGCTTTTGTTCAAACTTTATCAAGACGATAAATTTTCATTCTGATCAACATAAACTTTTTACGATAAATTTTCATTCTTATTGTGTAAACTTTTTACGATAACAAATATATTTCTTCTTTTTTTTTCACTGTACTAAAAAAATTTAAAAAGGTCATTTAAAAGTACAAATAAAGTTTACATATTTACTGGTGATGGTTCTTATGTTTGCATTTAAGTAGAATCTAGCACTTTTTTGCATCAAGTAATATATAAAATGTGCCTGCAGTTGAGGTGCCTTTTAAGTGTAAATAAATGTTAAATCATTTATAATCTTTATAGGCTTTAGATTTTATCAATAAAATAGCTTTTTCAATTTTAACATTTTAGACTGCTTTTTGTCATGCCAAGTGTTTGTAAAAGCTTAAGTTCATTCATCCCAGCTCTTGATGTGTTGTGGAAATAAATTCAATGCAAATTTTCAGGAGTTGATTGCTTGTGCTGGCCAAGTGATAGATTCTTTCTTTCATTGGTGCTGTTGTGGATTCAATCATTTCACTGCTAATCAACAAGCAAAAAGCATTGATTATAAAATTAAAGATATACCTAGGAAGATCAAGTTTTATGCCTACAAAATAAAAAATTCTAGAAAGAGAAAAGTCTCTTTACTACCTGCCTGATATTATTTGTTTATTTTGCAGTGTTTGTTTACATTTGAGTTAGTGTCAGGTGCCTTGGCTCAACCCCTGAGGTCATGTGGTATGTTTTGTTACAAATTTTTTACTATCAATAAATACCTCTTGTCTGTCAAAACATTTAAAAGTGGGTTCTTGTTTTCTTATGTTTCCATCATACACAGAGTTTAATTCCTCATTAAAAGTAGATGTCAGTTTGAGACTTAAGTGAGTTCTTTCAAAAGGGACAAATTCTTCAAGACTCTTACAACAAACTTGAAACAAATTTGGGCTTACTGCACCTTTGACCCAGTAAATGAAGTTACGCTTCAATTGGTGCAAAAAAACTAAAATAATACAAAAATGTGTTTCCTACAGCACAAGTCAAGTACGTAATCAACTTCTGGTAGCAGTTCCAACACTATTTGGTATCATGCATCTATTGAGATACATTTTAATTTCTCAAATTAAAATTCAGTGACTTTTTTTCAGTCATCATCACATACCTTTATAACATGCACAAAAAAATCACATTAAAAGCTTTTACTTTTAGAATAATTTTGAAAATTTTATTTTAATTTTAAAAATTTCTTTTCTAAACAAAAAAAGAAAATAAAGTTTTTAATTTACAGTGAGGCATATATTTTCATCTAATAATCAAGTACTAGACAAAACAAAGAATCCATTTATATTTTGGAAAAAAAAAATGTTACATGGTAAAGCTAATTTTTAATAAGAGTTGGATGTAATTTTTAATGTATCAAAGGTTTGAAATAACTTGGAGGGCAACAATATTTCTTCCATTATTTTAATGTAAAAATGATCTGATAAGAATTCAGAGACAACTCATATAACTCTCCCTTAGGGAAAGTTGCTAATGTAAACAGAAATATAACAATTGTTAATGTTAACAGCCATACAATGACAACATTTAAACACTTCTGGAAATAGAAAACACATATCACATATACATAGATTATTCATCTCATTCTCCATCACAGGTCCTACTATGCATGCCTCTTCAGTGACACTTAGGTGATATATAGCCATAAGCTGTTTACTAAAGATCTGACTAAAATAAAGGAAATCTTCAGTCTTGGCGCCACAAACTTGTTACATCTTCGAGGCTTCAGAATGAAGAGATTTAGAAATTTCAGAAATGGCTGAAGCTTCGGAATAATCATCCTAGAATTAGTGGGAAAAATGTCAAAACTCGTTAGTAAACATTTCAATTAGTTTTATATACTGTCATACCTAAACTAATGACTGGCTCAAACAAACTGATATCTTAAACTCAAGGGATCCCTCATTCAAAATATCAGAGTAATGGCAGCTGTTGAACTGCAATCAACATCACATCAAATTATATCACAAAATCAGTGGAATAATTACAGATGTCAAATCTATAAAATAGTCAAATCTATAAAATATAGAATGCCGCTTTAAATTCTACTTTTATTTTCCAAATGTAACTATTATGTTTAGTAAATCTTTACATAACTTGTAAGATTATATAAATGTCTCAACAATGACTGATACAAGTTTATGCCTAGACACTGACTGCAGCCCCTTGCTGTACAACTAGACACATTCTTGAGGCTAATTGAACTACCTACATTTAATTTTAATCAATAAAATAAATGTTTGCCTAATAATGCCATCTATGTTTAAGAAAGAAAATTAATACAAATGCGTATGATAAATATATCACAGTAAAAGTAAAACATTTTACAATTTATATAAAAAAAATTATCTTAAAAAGTATAATAAAGTACAAAATACAAATACAAAAGTAAAGAATTTTGTTTTTTAACAAGGTATGGACACATTTCAATAAGTAAAGTAATGTAAACAAAATTCAATTTTCAAAAGGCAACAACATACAAATATCTGGTTGTATAAAGATAACAAAATTTGTGTAACAAGAAAATATTTGGTTGCACTTTCAAACCTGGCCACCATATTCCGGAGGATCAACTGAAGATCCAAAATCACCACATTGGAAATTCATGGCCGCAAGGGCTTTTTGTTTCCTTTGTACCATTTCTTCACTGGGGGTATCTGTGATAACAGCAATGGAGAAATCTCATTGGTGGCAGTTAGGGATAGCTCACACACAAGTCACACTAGAGCTGATTAGTGGCGGGGTTAGGTTAACTGTGCAGCACAGCAATTCAAGTGCAAAGACCGATGTCCATAACAACACACCTGGAGCCAGCCAGTCTCTGGGCCAGCAGTTTAACCACGACTTGTCATATGGTTAGAAAAACCAGCTGAAGCTTTTCAGTACACTCCAAGCATCTAATGACCTTAAAGCAAAATAAAAATCTTACCAGAAACAAAGTGGTCCTTTATCTCCTTTGGAATCTTGTCCACATACCAGTGATGATTGCTGAGAGTAGCTAGCACCCCTCCAGCATTTTTTCTTTGCACCTTGGCATGGTAGAGAATCTGGTGACCCAGGAGATCTGTCAGACGTCCACCCAGGGCGTGGAGAACAGCTTCAGGGGCACACGTGTCCCACTTTTTACAGCCTTTACTGGCAAACACATAGGCATGGGCCTTGCCCTCCAACAGCAACAGGACCTGTAATGTTTGATGTTATTTTTACACTGGTGCTACAAGAAATACAATGTTTAAACTGGTGATACAAGAAATTCAATGTTTACAACTGGTGATACAAGAAATTCAATGTTTACACTGGTGATACAAGAAATTCAATGTTTACACTGGTGTTACAAGAAATTCAATGTTTACACTGGTGTTACAAGAAATACAATGTTTAAACTGGTGATACAAGAAATTCAATGTTTACAACTGGTGATACAAGAAATTCAATGTTTACACTGGTGATACAAGAAATTCAATGTTTACACTGGTGTTACAAGAAATTCAATGTTTACACTGGTGTTACAAGAAATACAATGTTTACACTGGTGTTACAAGAAATACAATGTTTAAACTGGTGATACAAGAAATTCAATGTTTACAACTGGTGATACAAGAAATTCAATGTTTACACTGGTGATACAAGAAATTCAATGTTTACAACTGGTGATACAAGAAATTCAATGTTTACACTGGTGCTACAAGAAATTCAATGTTTACAACTGGTGTTACAAGAAATTCAATGTTTACAACTGGTGCTACAAGAAATTCAATGTTTACAACTGGTGATACAAGAAATTCAATGTTTACAACTGGTGATACAAGAAATTCAATGTTTACAACTGGTTTTACAACTGGTGATACAAGAAATTCAATGTTTACAACTGGTTTTACAACTGGTGATACAAGAAATTCAATGTTTACAACTGGTGATACAAGAAATTCAATGTTTACAACTGGTGCTACAAGAAATTCAATGTTTACAACTGGTGCTACAAGAAATTCAATGTTTACAACTGGTGATACAAGAAATTCAATGTTTACAACTGGTGATACAAGAAATTCAATGTTTACAACTGGTGCTACAAGAAATTGACTGTTTACAACTGGTGCTACAAGAAATTGACTGTTTACAACTGGTGCTACAAGAAATTCACTGTTTACAACTGGTGATACAAGAAATTGACTGTTTACAACTGGTGCTACAAGAAATTCACTGTTTACAACTGGTGATACAAGAAATTCAATGTTTACAACTGGTGCTACAAGAAATTGACTGTTTACAACTGGTGCTACAAGAAATATACCGTAATCAAAGTAAAGAGCAAACCAACCTTGTGGCCAGCACCTCCCACTTTGATGACATCCGAGGGCTCACAAGCACTGACAGCCTCTGAGACCACCCAGTCAGAGTGGGACCGTGTTGTTGTTATAATATTTTTATCTGTTGGTGGAGCTACAGGCACAAAGCCAAATGCACCTAGTTTAGTTAAAAAAGAATACAATTAATGATTCATATTTAAAGAACAAGAATCGTCACACAATAAATACAAATGTAATACCATGCGGTGATACCCACAAAATATGCTTTGTGTTCACATGATGACAGGTGCATACCTTGTGTGAGAATTTCTAAAATTTTAATTGAATAACTGCATCATTTAAAAAATTGTAGAGGGGCATGGGTGGAAATTGATTTTAGGGGGGGGGGGGGAAGAGAGATGTGTCCCTGGTACACCACTTCAACATCCTCAAGCTAAAACCTCAAACATTACCTAAGCCAACTAATCCCCAGATTAACCTCCACTGCATGTGACTTACCTAAGCCAACTAATCCCCAGATTAACCTCCACTGCCTGTGACTTACCTAAGCCAACTAATCCCCAGATACAACGCCCTAGTGGTGCTTTAGATTCCAGTTGGTAGTTGTAATATGGCTGATAAATGACGCCTCCCTTGGCCTCACCATTGACAGCAATACCTATAAGTACAGTCACATGATCCAGCAGACCTGGTGGGCAAATCAAAACAACTTGATCAAAGTTAGAATAAGAATAGCTCCAACAAATGTGTATAATATGGATTCACATGTATAACAGAACTTGATGGGAGTCGGCATCCTTAAACTACAAGCTTTACTATACCACGTTGAGCAATCCTAGTCTAGCACTGGCAAAACTAAGAGAACACTACTTAAGCTGCATGGAGGTGGAAAATACAAGAACAAATGCTCGCTGAATTTAAGGTGAAGCCGCGCATTTGTGAACTGCGCTGATAGACAACAGCATAAGTCACATTGATTTGAAGTAAATATTCTTTATGTTTTTGTTTTTAAATCATAATTTAATGAGTTAATGGTTTGTTAAACACTGTGATATTGATGCATGGTTAATTTTGTGAACCAGTAAAATATAAACCAATATTTTGAATTTGTAAAAAAAAATCATATTTTATTTTTCCTATTATGAAAGGTTCTTTGAATGCGCATATAAACTGGGAGGATTCAATACTTCCAAAAAAGTTAAGAACCACTGAATTAAAGTGAGAATGTGATATAGTAAGTAATGTACAACAACATAACTCAACAAAGCCTACAAACCTTGGGTAAATTCAGCTGTACCATCCAGGGGATCAACCCATATAACAACCTGGAATGGTTTAAAAACACTTTATAAAAAAACTGCTATTTCTTGTCTGTCAAATAGCTGTAAGTTACTCTGTTATTATAAGCCAACAACAAATGCTTGTGATAAAGCTGTATATAACTTAAGACAACTTACCTGATCATCTGTTACATCCTTGTATCCATCTGGACATGGATGTGACAAGACACTCTCATCAAGATTTCTGACTATATAGTCATCAGGAATGTTGTCATTGGGATCTAAACTCTAGGAACATAAACCAAACACACTGTTAAATGTGACTCATTACTTGAATTGTATTTTTTTTCTTTTGTGTACAAATAATAACACAAAAGTTAAACATACTGTTTTCAATTATAGGAAACATTCATTATTTAATAGATTACAGATCAAATCAAATGTAGTCCTACCTCTTCTCCAAAGATGGCAACTTTAGGAAACTGCCGATGAAGGGTTGCCACTATACACCGCTGGGCTGCTCGATCTGCCTCAGTTTGGAGATCATTTTTACCCTACATTATAATAATACAATAATTTGGTGGCATATGATGACACATGTTATGCACAATAATTATATTTAGTTAAGTAAAAGAAACAAAATTAAATGTCGGAATGATTAAAAAAATGTAATTAAATTGATTGAAATACATCAAGCAGAAGAAAAGTAAAAAGAAAACAATTTTCAACAATTTAGTTTTTATTTAGATATACTGTTATTTTATAAAACAAATCTGTACTAATTGCAATAGAGTTTGAATTATAAAACCTATTGATTAAAACAGAACAATTTCTTTTACCAGACTCTTGGCAATACCAAATGTTACATGACTAATTAGAATAATAACCAATTATGTGTGTAATAAAGAGTTATCAAAACACAAAATTTTAATCTCCTTGTCAACTACAGGTGTGTGCAGAGAGAATGAATTGATCACTAGTTCAGCCAGGCTAGACTAAAAATTTTACTTTTGCCATATATAATGACCCAGTTAAACAGGCTGACCTAGTTCAAGTTTATATTAACAGAGGTGACACCTGGTGATCCCACCAAGCTGTCTGTCCTGACAGTCTGTCCTGACAGTCTGTCCTGACAGTCTGTCCTGACATCAAAAAGCCATGATCATCATATCCTTAACTCCACAGAGAATTCAATATGTATGTGAAAGTTTAAATTGCTAAAATAAATCATACTCCTACTCCTAGCATTATATCCAACTTTCTTTAAAAAAAATCTGGCAGATTCTACAGTGGCTTCTATTACTTGGTTTTACTACACTGATTCATTGTGATAATTCACAAGGCAAATAACAAAATGTAGGTAATGTTTAAGACCAGTCAATAGCACTTTGCAACAAGTTAATGGATGCATGTGCTACCAAAGGAAGCCATATTATTGGTAGTGACCAGATTTACCAATATTGTAGTGAGAGTTACTATCAAACCACAAGTAGTGAGAGTTACTATCAAACCACAAGTAGTGAGAGTTACTATCAAATGGCAAGTAGTGAGAGTTACTATCAAACCACAAGTAGTGAGAGTTACTATCAAATGGCAAGTAGTGAGAGTTACTAACAAATGGCAAGTAGTGAGAGTTACTAACAAATGGCAAGTAGTGAGAGTTACTAACAAATGGCAAGTAGTGAGAGTTACTATCAAACCGCCAGCATTAGTTCAAAGGGACCAGATCAAATATTGTTACCATGACCAAAAAACAAATATTTGTTTACATTTAATCTCTGGTCCAAAAATATTAAACATTGGTTAATATTGAGTATGTAGTAGTATAATACATTAAAAAATAAGAATTAAAAATCAATAATTTTCTCATATTAGGTAATTCCCTATAAATGATGCTATTGAACATTAGCATGACCTAGTTAAAGTTAAGCCATGATTGTTCATAATTACCATGTAGCATAGAGTAACAACCAAATTGTTTTAGCTTTTTGGCACATTTTTTTTTTATTTACACAAAAATATTTAAAACATAAAATCAGTAGAAAATGTACACAAATTATTATTATCCTATGTTTTAATAATACTGCACACCATTTTAAAAATAATTATTCTTTCCTTTGAAAGTTTATAAGCAAATGTCATTGCACAATACTTATCTCCTCTTATGACTGGTTTTTACAGGCTCAAGCAATGCCCACTAACTAGGGAGAATGGAAGAGAATCAAGCTTTTCTCTCGCCCATGTCACCAGCTCTTCTTCAAAAACATTGCATTACAATTACAAGCTTTTAGACCTGAGATTGAACTTTTGAGCTAGGAGGCCTACATTCTACTGCTAGTCCAAGCCATCCGCAAAATACTAAACTACAGTAACAAATGTAAAGTGATGACAAAAATGTGATGTTGTGTAATCAAATATTCTATGGAACACCCCTTGCTTTGAGGCTAAACTAGACAACTTTTAGGTTACTGATGGCAGCATTCAAGCCTAGATTTGTTATTAAATCTGATCCATGTGTTTTGATAAGTACAAAACAACCTTCATTTTTATTTTTTTTTAAGGCTTAATAATAACTTATACATTAAATTTATCTGACACTTTTACTATAACTTGCAAAAATGTTGGTATGCTTTTTACGCTGTAATTACACACAGAAGTTATAACAATAAATTGGGTGCAGACATCTTTGTATTTCCCCCCTACCCTGCCTGCAGTAAGTATCAGGTAGAGGTAACATGCGAAACAAAAATGTTAAATGAACTGCTGTTTATGCAACCTTCTCAAAATTTACCCCCTCACCATTTTACGTCTCGCAATTTACTATGCAACATATAAAAAATTCTGAAAGAGAAAATGAAAGTACTTGACATGGTAGTATTCATAAATAAACAGGTGCAGTGGTTTAGCTGAAGACATGCTAATAAAGTTTCTATGAGCCGAAAACCGACAAAGTGTTAGCTGCAATATAGTTTCACTCTTAACTTTTATGTAAGTTCCTCTACTATGTAGCCTATTTTTTTTTTCTGTGATAGAAAAAAACGGACCAAAATGCCTACTAGATCTAGATTCTAACTCTAACTCAAATCTTAGATCTATAATCTCTAGCTTTAATCAGCAGTGTTGGCGAGCAGGATTTGCTATAGTATATAAAAAGCGGCCATCTGTACGTTAGAGTGGCTTCCCCTGAATCTTGCGCTATAAGTTTACAAAAAAAATAAACAAGATTGCTGCTTATAGTAAATGAGCATGGTTGCATCTGTTGGAAACATCGCTAGTCTTCATTTATTACTGAAAAGTTTTAATTCAATTAATTAATTCGAAGTGTCTACTCGGAATAAGATTTTTCGGCAAAAGATAGTTCTGCGCATGCGCAGTGACCTATGGCTAGGGTTAGGGCTAGAATGAGGGTTAGGGGTAGGATTAGGGATAGGGTTAGGGATAGGATTAGGGCTAGGGTTAGGGATAGGATTAGGGCTAGGGTTAGGGATAGGATTAGGGATAGGGTTAAGGATAGGATTAGGATTGGTATTAGGGTTCTGCGGTTGTAAACACACGCATGCGCAGTACCATCGAAAAAATCTCCGCTAAGTCGTAGTTTCTCTCCATTGCGCATGCGTATCGCATGCGTATCTTATTCCGACTAGAATCGGCCTAATTAATTACAAACAGGTAAGCCTACAATGTAGGCCTTACATAAATGAAACATTTTTGTATTTTTCAAAACATAAATCCTCCTCAAAATGTGAAATAATTATTTAAATTTAAGGAGTCACCTGTTTTTTACATTACTACTCGCGGGCGATTTTACGTAGATCTAGAATCTACCTAAAACTTACCAAAACGATAGATTACCGAATTTTTTAGCCCAGAGACACCCGACAGTTTTAGCTCTACAATTAAAAATAATGCCAAAACACAAACCTTTTCGACAATGCCTAGATCTCCAGTTTTTAAAATATCTCTAATTATGCTTCCTGCTTTGTATGAAACAGATACTGATGCTGCCAGCAAACGCATAACCAAAGGCGTAGGAAAAGCACTTATTGTCGCCATTTTGTATCAATGGCAAACAACTTTTGTCTCGCCAGTTCAGGATGTGTACGGCCAAGAAGCTTTGGACATAGTCTATGTACGAAACTAAATATACCTGCCTTATATTTAAATTTAAAAAAAAAATCTTATAGGCTAGATCTAGTAAATATTTTTTTTTAAATTAGGATAACTATTTTTAATTATTAAAAGTTACAATATTTAACTTTAGAGAGTATTACATAAACAATGTACACTTTATTTTATAATTAGTTTGGTATAAACTAGGGTAGGGGAAGCCACTCTATTATCACCAAACTACAAGCAACGTCAACTTCCTAGATTTGTAAGCTTATGATTTACAAGTACTTTTTCTACTGAACACTACGTTTACAATAAATAATTGATTATTAGATCACATTTTGTATGGAGAGCGAAGAAAATGTGGTCATTTTTTAGCCGAGATCCTGCGAAGGATTTTCATTACGATATTGGAGAGAAAGTTTTAGGACTCGAAGATAAATCTATTTGGACTTTACACCGAGGAAAGAAAAAGGTAAAAGTTACTAAAAGAAATAAACCGGTAGTGATCTCCCCTAAACTTTCTCGAATATTCTTATATAAAACAACAGGGGATGGTAACTGGGGATATAGTTATGATTTTTAATCCATTTTAAATACTGAAACTTTTAAAAATAGAATAGAATCTCAGTAAAAAACAATTGCGCACCAAGCGAACGCCTAATAAAGGTGTGTATAATAGTGCGCAATAGTATTAGTATTTAATAAATTTACATTAGTTTTTTGAGAAATCGGAAGTAGCGTAAATTACTACTTCCGGTCAACGGAAATTACTCAAAATTTAACAGAAGGTAGAGAATTAGATCTTTTACTTACATGTGAAATTTCATTTATCTATCTGAAATAGTACTCAAGTTATAGGCTTTTGAAAAATTCAAAGTAGAAAAAGTACCACTTCCGGTTGTCGGAAATCTCTCAAAAGTTGATACGGATCTACGATTTTGATAAAATACTTATATATGAAATTTCATCAACCTAGCTGTAACGGTACTCAAGTTATCGTGTTTACACACGGACAGACACACACACAGACACACACACACACAGACATACGGACAAGATTGCAAAATTATGTTTTTCCGTATCAGTGAGGTGTAAAACGTCGAGATTTGTAAAAATCTCGATTTTTTTTTTTTGCACGATTACAATACTTTCTCTATACTACGTATATACGAGAAAGTAAAAAGAAAACTTGCTAGGGCCTTTTTTACTTATAGATCTAATACTTATTATAGGCGGCCTACTTAAATAATAAATATATATTATATAAATCAGTAGTAGAGTAACTCTGCCTGCCCCAACTACGTGCCTCATCATTGTGAACACCTCCGTAACTCAGACTGTCTGTAACTCTCACTTTGATTAGTAGGCCTAATAATTCTGACAATTCGCTAATTGAACTGTTATTTTGTTTTATACAGAAACATTAGAATTGGTAGCAAGTATGTCCATTTATAAGTCTATTCATATCAAACTTTGATCCATTGAATTGCCTACTGTGGGATAAGACTTAAGAGCAATTAAAAGTTTAATTTACAAGCAACCCGTCATGTAGGTGGCCGTTTTTATGTTGCTGGGACAAGCAAAGCCTCGTACAGACATAGCGTCTTTTTAAAACAATGTTTAGTCTTTTTTTTCCTGACAAAATGAACTGAAATTTAATGGAATAGGCCAAAGAATATATATGTTTATAAAAATGCTAGGCCTATTTCTTTACTAAATACATTTTTTGGGGGGTAGTCATAAGAAGGCTGAAAATTTTTGTGTTTTGACTTTGCCTGGTAAACCTATAGTAAACCATAACACAATAATTATTCTAGCATTTTATTGGGAAGAGTTATCTCCCCTATTATTTTTTTCATTGCTATAAATTATATTATTTTTTGCATTTAAAACAATTAATCACTGAAACACAAAACTACACACATAAAATGTTAATAGTACAGGATTGTTTATTTAATTAAGCCAAAAAAAAACAGCAAAAACAATGAACATGATATAATCGTAAGGAGGAAAGACCGATAGCAAGGAGGCAAAATAGCAAAATTGCGTTTGTGACCAGGACGACTAGGTCGTCAGTTTCGGGGCATATATTTAAAAGTTATAATGCAAAGGGAAAAAAGTGAATACATATTTTTATTCTTCTTTGGCTGGAGAATATTTCTATGCTTTGGTTTTCATTCTATGTCAAATACTAACGAAATTAGATGTCTCGAACCGGAAAGGAGTCTCAGTTTCAGGCTAGGTTTGGGATAGTGTGGTCAGCACTATGTCCAGCCGCCTTTACTTAACTCAGGGCTGGTCTACTGACTTGAAGCCAAATTTTAACTCAAGACTTGCGGGTGAGCAGTCTATCTCTCTACTGCTAGGCCACTTTGTCCCACTGGAATATACATAGGTTCACTTAATAAAATTGACTTTATATTTATTATTGAAAACTTCCTCCTTTGTTTAGGGTTCAGGAGATCCAGTTTCTATATTTGCATTTGATGTAAAAGGATCAAGCGAAGCTCTTATTCAGACAGCGAAAGCTTCTTTAAAAAGGCTAAAGACTCTTAGACACCCGAACATTTTAACATTTCTTGATGGTGTTGAGGTATTATCTTATTTTATCATTTATAAAAAAATAAATACTTTTTGGTGTTATAATTAATAGACTGATGTTAAACCAAGCTATTTTCTGCCCTAACAGACTGACAAGTTTATATATTTTGCAACTGAGCCAGTGGTGCCACTTGAAACATATCTTCAAGAAAATGACAGTGAAGGCCACAATGAGATTGCAATTTCTTGGGGGCTTCATCAAGTTGTGGTTAGTTTCTGATGTTTGCCAGAATTAAATTGAATTTTGTTTAACTATAACTGTTTATAAAAGTACAAACATTGAAGTATAATACTTGATAAATGACTTAAATTTTGTTGTGTTTTTCAGAAAGGCTTATCATTCCTGGTAAATGACTGTAATTTAATCCACAACAATGTGTGCATGTCCTCTGTGTTTGTGGACCCAGCTGGAGAGTGGAAGCTGGGAGGGGTGGACTACATGTACCCTGCCCAGGGGCCTGACAGTATCCCACCTGTCAAACTTCTGCCACTGCTAGAGAGATACAACTCCCCAGAGAAAACAGAGGGAAAAAACATCAAGGCAGAAAAATGGTTTGTTTGCTTTCTGTTGTAGACAGAACCCATGAACTTTCAAGCACAGTTTCTCTGTGGTTTTTTTTTAAGTCTACATTTTTTTTTCCATTAGAACAATAATTAATTTTGAAATAAATCTTTAATTAAAATTAGCTTTGTTAAAGAGATATTTAAGCCACTAATCAAAATCGCTGAGTATCGGTTACTTTTTTCAGGGTCTTTTTTACAATGAAAGTATATTTTAATTTTTTATTACCATTTTAAAATGGTATTAAATAGATGTTGTTTTTTTTTTGTTATTTAAAATGTATATAATTTTGTTTTGTCTTATATAGTACCTTTGTAAACAATGTAAATGTCAGCTATATTTTATTTTCAATTAGGGCTGCAGATATGTGGGGTCTTGGTTGTCTCATATGGGAAGTTTTTAATGGAACTTTACCAAAAACTGTATCATTAAAATCTCCTGGCAAGGTATGTCTGCTGCATATAATATTTATTTATAATTTGAGTTTATCAGAAATACAAAGTTTAATCATATATTTTTGCTGCTATCATTTTTTAAAATCAGTTTTTAATCCCCTTTTTGACTTAAAATAGAAATTGCCACATAATTTTTTTTTCTCTCTCATAGATTCCTCAAAGCTTAATAGCAAACTACTGTGAACTTGTTGGAGCAAATCCTCGATCAAGGCCCAACCCAGCCAAATTTATTGAAAACTGTCGAGTGAGAGGTGGATTCATGCATAACACATTTGTTGATTCAATGCTCTTTCTAGAAGAAATCCAGGTACTGGTCTATTTTGTTAATGTTCTGCTCAAAGTGAAACAAAATTTATAACATTATATTTTGTTTCTTTTCAAAATAGCTAAATCTAATGAGTTGTATTTCAGATCAAAGATCAACTGGAAAAAAATTCATTTTTTGCTAGTCTCACCCCATCACTGGATTCTTTCCCTTCCTTGTTTTGTCGCAATAAAATTCTGCCCCAGCTGCTGAATGCTTTTGAGTATGGAAATGCTGGTTCTTCAATATTGGCCCCCATGTTTAAGGTACAGAACTAGGCATATTGCTTAATATTTGTGACTCAAAAGATATAAGATATAAACAAATTTTGGATATGTTTTACGAAAGATTAAATTCTTGATTTATTACAAGATTTAAAAAAAACTGGGCAAAATATTATATTATCTTACTAAGCATGACATGGATGTAAAGACAAATGCCTTGATGTTTTAAAATGATTATTATCTTGTTTACCAAGTTTCTGCACTTATTTAAATTTGACACTATAAATCTCACCAGTATTTTAATGTAACATCACCAACAGTTGGATCATATACTTTTATGTTCTTCTCTACTTCAGATAGGAAAACTTCTAGATGCTGAAGAGTACCAGAAAAAAATTGTCCCGTGTGTTGTCAAACTTTTCACTTCACCAGACAGAGCAACCAGAGTCAAGCTGTTACAACAGGTTCAGTCTCTTTCTTTACTCTTTAATCTGTTTACAGCCTGTATTGGGATGTGATTGATGGCCTGTAGTAGTCCTAAATATATTCTTTGTTAAGTATTTCTGCCTTGACATCAATGGCCAGGTCTATTGGAGCTAAGTAAGTTTAAGATGCCCTTATTCAACTTTTACCAGCCAGGCTATTCACTCAAAGGCCAGACGCTACCACAAAATGGCAGTTGCAACTGTTTAAGTCCTATACACCCATGTTGTCATTAGCATTAATTAATAGTTGATACCAGGTGACATTTTGTGCTGAGGCCTCTGCCTTAAGAACAATGATACAGGGAGATTTGGTTTACCATCTCTCCATCTCTGTGTGGCCATAATAGCCAATATGAGCAAACTGTATCATTTTCTACTTTAGTGTCAATTTATTTTTAAAATATTTTTTTCTCTTAGATTGAATTCTTTGCCGAGCACTTACAGAGCAGTACAGTGAATGATCAAATCTTCCCTCATGTCAACAGTGGTTTTATGGACACGAACCCCATGGTTAGGGAGTGTACCATCAAGGTGAGACTTTAGTCAGGGTTAGAGTGTACTATCAAGGTGAGACTTTAGTCATGGTTAGAGTGTACTATCAAGGTGAGACTTTAGTCATGGTTAGATTTTGTACCATCAAGGTGAGACTAGTCATGGTTAGAGTGTACTATCAAGGTGAGACTTTAGTCATGGTTTGAGAGTGTACCATCAAGGTGAGACTTTAGTCAGGGTTAGAGTATACTATCAAGGTGAGACTTTATTCATGGTTAGAGTGTACCATCAATGTGAGACTTTAGTCATTGCTCAAGAGTGTACCATCAAAGTGAGATTTTAGTCAATGTTCAAGAGTGTACCATAAAGGCAAGATTTTAGTTTAACTTTTTATGCCAATAATTTTTGTGATTGATTGCTGGATGTCATGAAAAAAATCTGATCGACCAATCAAAATTTTGTTTGATCCAATTGTAGGCTATGCTTCACTTGGCACCAAAACTGAGCTATAAAAATTTGAACGAGGAGCTGATGAGACAGTTTGCCAGACTCCAGGCCAAGGATGACCAGGTCAGGCTTTGTTTTAGTCAGAATTGTTTCATTTTTTATTTCATTACTCACTTAGATAGGACAGGCAAAGTTGTCTGTTTTTTTAATGACTATTTCTGGTTAAAGGCTTAAAAATTAAAGTAATGAAACTTCTGCACTTACAAAAATTACTGTAGTACAGAAGCTTTGATTTGTAAGCGCCCTGTTAAATTGTCAACTGTGCTGCTCTATTTCTCCAGGGTGGTATCAGAACCAATACAACAGTGTGTTTGGGAAAGATTGCCTGCTACATCAATCCTGCTGTAAGTTGTTTTCTTGTATTCACCAGTTCTAACTTGACTTGCCAATACATTTTTTTATATTCAAACTGATTTATAACTTGAGAAGACTGACTTTTCACAACTTAACACTGACGTATTTTTACATGAAATTTATTTTATATCATTCAGTAAAGCCAATATTAACACAAACACACACAATCCCCCCACCCACCCACCCACCCACCCACCCACCCACCCCATTGACAATTAAATGAATTTTTTTTAAATAAGTGACAGTGATTATTTAGCTTATTATTAATGTAGTAATATTAACTAAAAATGTATATTTGTAGATTCGTCAGAAAATTCTTTGTTCTGCCTTTATGCGGGCCATGAAAGATCCATTTCCCCCTGCCAGACAAGCTGGTATCTTGGGTATAGCTGCCACACAGAACTTCTACAGCCTGTCAGAGGTGGCGTCCAAGCTCCTCCCCTCCCTCTGTATGTTAACACGTGACCCAGAGAAAACTGTCAGAGATCAGGTACAACTTGTGTTGCTTTTGTGGTCCACAATGTGTTGCTTTTGTGGTCCTTAATGTGTTGCTTTTGTAGTCCACAATGTGTTGCTTTTGTGGTCCACAATGTGTTGCTTTTGTAGTCCACAATGTGTTGCTTTTGTGGTCCACAATGTGTTGCTTTCGTAGGCCACAATGTGTTGCTTTTGTGGTCCACATTGTGTTGCCTTTGTAGTCCACTATGTGTTGCCTTTGTGGTCCACATTGTGTTGCCTTTGTAGTCCACAATGTGTTGCTTTCGTAGGCCACAATGTGTTGCTTTCATAGGCCACAATGTGTTGCTTTTGTGGTCCACATTGTGTTGCCTTTGTAGTCCACTATGTGTTGCCTTTGTGGTCCACATTGTGTTGCCTTTGTAGTCCACAATGTGTTGCTTTCGTAGGCCACAATGTGTTGCCTTTGTAGTCCACTATGTGTTGCCTTTGTGGTCCACATTGTGTTGCCTTTGTAGTCCACTATGTGTTGTCTTTGTGGTCCACATTGTGTTGCCTTTGTAGTCCACAATGTGTTGCTTTCGTAGGCCACAATGTGTTGCTTTCATAGGCCACAATGTGTTTCTTTTGTGATACAAAGTGTTGCTTTTGTGGTCCACAATGTGTTGCTTTTGTGGTGATTGATATTTTTTTTTACTTTGTATTCAACTTTTGGATTCTTTAGTCATATGTCTTCTAACATAAATTTTCAATAAAAAATATTTCTTGCTTAATTAGAAGAAAGGGGGTTAAAAGGTTTGCATTGTACTACAGTAATATGTTTAATTTTTCTTCTCTTATTTTAGGCATTCAAGACAATAAAAGGGTTTATTGCTAAATTGGAAAAAGTTTCAGAAAATCCTGAATTAGAAGAAGAATATGGTAAGTGGCTTATATATAAACAGTGAATATATGTGTCTTATAATACTTATATTCACTGTTTAGGTTCCTCCAATCAGAGATTGGTGTTTTCTATTTCTTCTAATGTGCACCTTAAGGCTATATGGTGTTACTCCTGAATTTGTACACATGATGACTGTTTTTATTTGGTAAATGATGAATGTTTTATTTGATGACCATGATGTTTACGTAGTGATGTTATTTGACGACCATAATGTTAAAATAGTGATGTGATTTGATGACCATGATAAGGATCGTCGTGGTTGAGTTCGAACCCCCAGGCTGATAAGGCTCGTTAGCTGGGGACAGTCACTCTTCTAGGAGAGACAACTCCAAAATCAAACAATTGCTGACTTGTAGTTTGTTCTTGGTTGGACAAAGGCTATGGAAGCAAATCCAAAAAGAAAAGCAGGCTGAAATCGGAGTCAATGGCCTCAATGGCGCATAACCAGTTGACACATATACTTAATTGTGTTGGAGGGGATTCCTTCCAAAACTAAAATTAAGAACGAAGAAGAAGATGACCATGATGTTTAGATAGTGAAGTCTTTATTTGATGACCATGATGTCTAGACTTTGTTCTTGTCTACAGAGAAGGAAGTCTCCTCTGGTACAGCAACTGCAGCCTCAGGCTGGGCAGGTTGGGCTGTCACTGGCATGTCTTCTCTAACCTCCAAGATCTACAGTAAAACACCCAAGCCACAGGAAGGTGGAGCTGCTTCAGGTTTGTACATTAGCAACAGTAAATTCATAAACAAAACCTCAATTAAAAAGTTGAAAATAAAAAAAAACTGATGTCATGTTTCAGCACCTCACCAAGCTGCTGTGAAAAAATCTCCTTCAGCCCCAGAGAAGGTTGGCACAGTTTCACCATCAGTGGTCACACAACACGTGGATACTAGCATGGAGAAGATAGAAGAGAAAACCTCTGGTGATGGCTGGGAGGATGAGGACTGGGGGGATTTAGATGTAAGATATTCTGTCTTATATTTCATGGCTGTGAGATTTAGATACTTTCTCTCTTCTTGTATACTCCACTGTCCCACACTTTTACTGTGCAAGTCATGAGTTTTGTTAAGTTGGAATAATGTCCCTGGTTAGATTTTTGTTTTGTTTTACTGTCAAGAGTAATTTCCCTTGTTCCACTGACTGGTAATTTCCCTTGTTCAACTGGAGAGGATAATTTCCCTTTTTTTACTGGAGCTTCTGATAGCAGTTTTAGCCAGCTTCAGTAACAAACTCCACATTTGAAACTTTGTTCAAATGTTTTCCTATAGAAGTCTGTCTTACTTTTTTGTGTGGCAAATCTGACTAAATAATTATCCAACACCAGGACTCCACTAGTATAACAAAGCAAGAGACTAATGATGAGAAAGATGATAATGTGAAAGATGATTGGGATGATGATGACAACTGGGGTAGCCTGGAGGACTCACCTACCAAGGTATTTATATTTTGAAAGAAGTATCAACTTCTTAAACAGCCGGTTTAACATGTGTAGACAAACTTGAATTTTACTCACCATCTCTTGCTTAAGTTATGTTCCATTTTCAGAATGAAGAAAATAAAGGGACTAGACTTAAATTAATACACATTAAAATTATTCCATGCTAAATCTAAAATTGACTTGCATTTCATTTGTTCACAAGATTAAATTAGGGTATTAAATCAGTGCCTTAAATAATTGAGCAGAAAATTATTTAGATAACATATATTAAAACTGGCACTATTGTAGAAAGCTCAAGAGGCAAACAAAAGCACTGATGTTCTCAAACCAAAGCCAAATGAGTTTGTCTCTACCCAGCACACTGGTCTTCCAACTACAGGCTCTTATGACTGGGGAGGGACAGGAGCTGATGATGAATTTTTTTCCACTGTTGGGGTAAGTTTAATATTTTTAAAAGCCTTTTTTTTAACTGATAAACTTGTAAATTTTTTTTACCTTGAGACCTGGTAGGCAGACAATAGCCTTTTGTTTGGCTAAGTGTATTGGCCAAGTGTACAAGAAGTTGCCTGGCTTGTTTCCTCTATCAGTTTGATCAAAGGATCTTAACCTTACTGGTATTTGAACCAACAGCTCTAAGTTATTGACTTAATTTCTTGTTTCCACTAGAGGTACATTTCCAGCAGTAAGATGCCAGATTTGATCCTGCTGTTGCATCAACTGGACTTTGTGTTGTGTGAAAATCCTCAATGATTGACTTGCCAGGAAATAACATACTGGATTTTTATCCCAATTTTGCATCAACTGGTCCTTGTGTTGTGTTAAAGTTCTCTGTTTGAATTGCCAGGGTGCCAGGAAATCAAATTCAAGATCCACAACTCCGCTGCGAGAGACGGCCAGTACAGCCAAGTCAACAGTGTCCAACAAACCAGTGGCAGCGCAGACAAAAACTTCAGTCAAAAAAGTCAAACAAGAGGATGATGGGTGGGGCATGGAAGACAAGGCAGGAGGGGGATGGGATGATGGAGGGGGATGGGGAGGGGACAACTGGGATGACATTGGAGGTAAGTTGTTTTTTTTTACATGTTATAGTGTTTTCTGTTAAAAGGCATTCATCACAAAATTAAATGATAAGAATTGTCCTTTTTTTTTTTATATGGGGGATTCTCAAACTGGTTTGAAATACACAAGTCTCAACAATAAAAAAGTTATGCCAGCAAAGTTTGCTAGTTCTTTTTTATTACATTCACATTTATGTTGATTTAGATGATTTAAGCTGCAGTATTGATTTAGTGGATTTTTAAAAATTACAGAAACAGAATCACAGGCTGATAGACTGAAGAGAGAGAAAGAGGAGAAGAAGAGACAGAGGCAGAGAGAGCTGCAAGAGAAAAGAGAAGCAAGGAAGGAGGGAGGTGCTATGAAGTTAGGGGCCAAAAAAATTGTCGACCTGGGTGATCTCTCTTGATATGACGAAGTACCAGACCATTATGGTCAGTGTTGCAAGGGTCTGTACCCTGATCCAGGTGAAAGAAAACATATCCAGCTACCTGTTGGCCAGTCAAGTGTCAGCATGCAGGGACAGTGTAAATGTGCAATTCTGCATCTGTGCATTGGCTAGTTGATATTCTAGAACAAGTGTCCACTTCATAGTTTGACTTGTAGATAAATATTTATTTGAATCGTCTGGCTGGAATAGTAAACAAATCTGTATAAATGCTGATCTTTTTGTTTCATACATAACATGACGACGTTTGGATGTGATTTAGCAATATTTATTTTTATCCTGATGGTCTACCTGCACAGATCTTACATTAAAATGTAATACATTATATAATCTTATGTAGCCAGGTGAACTTTGGGATGCTCTACACATACAGGAAAGATTTGCGCAGAGTTTCTCTCTTAAGGTTTTATATGTATGTGATCATCATCACTTTATGAAGCTTGTTGCAGTGCTTGATTATTTCTTGCTGCTTCTTTAGAAGCTCTACAGACCAAATGGGCTGTGGAGCTTGGATGTTCATTTAGGGATGAGATGGCTTATCAGAGCTGTGACTATAGGGATCATGTAATAAGGATGACTGTAAAGTAATCATGTAATGAGGATAACTGTGAAGTGATCTGCATTTAGGAAATTGTATGTTGAAAGAGATCAATAAATCTCTGGTAGTTATCTATAGGAGTGAAAGGTGTTATCTCAAAAAAGTAAGATAATACAGTTGTATCACTTGTAATGGCATTAATCCAGTTGGCTGTGGGCTTGGTTATTTTTTACTGGCCAAAATTTTGACTTTGTTTTTTGAACAGCCTTACATAAACTAAAGCTTTTTAGCTTTTTTTTTTTGGATTGTCTAGTTACCGAAAATGTTAGTAACATACAAAGGAAAAAAATTTTATGATCACATATTTGGCTAAATGCTCACAACTTTTAAAATAATGAATATCCACTTTGAGAGTGTTCTGAGCCAATGCCATTAATAGTTTTTGTAAACAGGTATGACAATTGAAATTTTAAAATGTTATTAATTTTATCATTTGTATGGCTGCTGCTGTTATCCTCAGCTTTTCCTTTATACTGGTGGTAGATAAATCTTTGCTTGATGAAGATTTTTTGTTTTACATTACAATATATGTAGGGTCATTAAACCATGTGGTACTTTTTCATTTTGTTAACATAAACTTGACTCAGTATTATATTTGCAGTTCCCATCACTTGATGTGTTGAATTTTGTCGTGTTACTGATGTATGTGCTCTGTAACTGATGTATGTGCTCTGTAACTGATGTATGTGCTCTGTAACTGATGTATGTGCTCTGTAACTGATGTATGTGCTCTGTAACTGATGTATGTGCTCTGTAACTGATGTATGTGCTCTGTAACTGATCTATGTGCTCTGTAACTGATGTATGTGCATGTGCTCTGTAACTGATGTATGTGCTCTGTAACTGATGTATGTGCTCTGTAACTGATCTATGTGCTCTGTAACTGATGTATGTGCATGTGCTCTGTAACTGATGTATGTGCTCTGTAACTGATGTATGTGCTCTGTAACTGATCTATGTGCTCTGTAACTGATCTATGTGCTCTGTAACTGATCTATGTGCTCTGTAACTGATGTATGTGCTCTGTAACTGATGTATGTGCATGTGCTCTGTAACTGATGTATGTGCTCTGTAACTGATGTATGTGCTCTGTAACTGATGTATGTGCTCTGTAACTGATGTATGTGCACACATGATCAAACTGATGAGAGTTGTGTCTAGTAAAACTACACTCCCCTGTATGTTATTTTATATTACATCATGAATACAATAAAATGTGTCAACATTTTAAAATTGTTTGACATTTGTTGCTGTGTATGTTTTTTGTTGATCCAGACCATTAATAAGATAACAAGAACTCTATATAAAAACTTTATAACAGTGTTTCTTTATACCAGTGTTTATTCCAGACTTTTTCCTCCAGGGGGGGGGGAAGAGGGACGGACACAGGTAAAAGTATATGTTTACTATATAAATCTCCATTTAGTTTGGGAGGGGGGAGGAAACAGAGCCCCCCCCCCGAGGAGATGCCTGGAAGAAACTGCTTAATACCAAAAAGAAAAGAAACGATGATGCAGCATTCTTAAAACTTAACACTATTTACATCTGGAGATCAAAAGACACCTTCACAACAAGATTCTCACTTATACTCAACATAGGTGGGTCTAGTGGGCTACACTCTACATAGGTGGGTCTAGTGGGCTACACTATAGGTGGGTCTAGTGGGCTACACTATAGGTGGGTCTAGTGGGCTACACTCTACATAGGTGGGTCTAGTGGGCTACACTCTACATAGGTGGGTCTAGTGGGCTACACTCTAGGTGGGTCTAGTGGGCTACAATCTACATAAGTGGGTCTAGTGGGCTACACTCTACATAGGTGGGTCTAGTGGGCTACACTATAGGTGGGTCTAGTGGGCTACACTATAGGTGGGTCTAGTGGGCTACACTCTACATAGGTGGGTCTAGTGGGCTACACTCTACATAGGTGGGTCTAGTGGGCTACACTATAGGTGGGTCTAGTGGGCTACACTATAGGTGGGTCTAGTGGGCTACACTCTACATAGGTGGGTCTAGTGGGCTACACTCTACATAGGTGGGTCTAGTGGGCTACACTCTAGGTGGGTCTAGTGGGCTACAATCTACATAGGTGGGTCTAGTGGGCTACACTCTACATAGGTGGGTCTAGTGGGCTACACTATAGGTGGGTCTAGTGGGCTACACTATAGGTGGGTCTAGTGGGCTACACTCTACATAGGTGGGTCTAGTGGGCTACACTCTACATAGGTGGGTCTAGTGGGCTACACTCTAGGTGGGTCTAGTGGGCTACAATCTACATAGGTGGGTCTAGTGGGCTACACTCTACATAGGTGGGTCTAGTGGGCTACACTCTACATAGGTGGGTCTAGTGGGCTACACTCTAGGTGGGTCTAGTGGGCTACACTCTACATAGGTGGGTCTAGTGGGCTACACTCTAGGTGGGTCTAGTGGGCTACACTCTACATAGGTGGGTCTAGTGGGCTACACTCTAGGTGGGTCTAGTGGGCTACACTCTACATAGGTGGGTCTAGTGGGCTACACTCTAGGTGGGTCTAGTGGGCTACACTCTACATAGGTGGGTCTAGTTGGCTACACTCTACATAGGTGGGTCTAGTGGGCTACACTCTACATAGTTGGGTCTAGTGGGCTACACTCTAGGTGGGTCTAGTGGGCTACACTCTAGGTGGGTCTAGTGGGCTACACTCTAGGTGGGTCTAGTGGGCTACACTCTACATAGGTGAGTCTAGTGGGCTACACTCTAGGTGGGTCTAGTGGGCTACACTCTACATAGGTGGGTCTAGTGGGCTACACTCTAGGTGGGTCTAGTTCTAGTGGGCTACACTCTACATAGGTGGGTCTAGTGGGCTTCACTCTACATAGGTGGGTCTAGTGGGCTACACTCTAGGTGGGTCTAGTGGGCTACACTCTACATAGGTGGGTCTAGTGGGCTACACTCTAGGTGGGTCTAGTGGGCTACACTCTACATAGGTGGGTCTAGTGGGCTACACTCTAGGTGGGTCTAGTGGGTTACACTCTAGGTGGGTCTAGTGGGCTACACTTTACATAGGTGGGTCTAGTGGGCTACACTATAGGTGGGTCTAGTGGTCTACACTCTACATAGGTGGGTCTAGTGGGCTACACTATACATAGGTGGGTCTAGTGGGCTACACTCTAGGTGGGTCTAGTGGGCTACACTCTACATAGGTGGGTCTAGTGGGCTACACTCTAGGTGGGTCTAGTGGGCTACACTCTAGGTGGGTCTAGTGGGCTACACTCTAGGTGGGTCTAGTGGGCTACACTCTACATAGGTGGGTCTAGTGGGCTACACTCTACATAGGTGGGTCTAGTGGGCTACACTCTAGGTGGGTCTAGTGGGCTACACTCTACATAGGTGGGTCTAGTGGGCTACACTCTACATAGGTGGGTCTTGTGGGCCACACTACATAGGTGGGTCTAGTTGGCTACACTCTACAAGGGCGAGTCTAGGCGGTTACTCTTGTCCCTACCCACTGGACACCAAAATTCTACATAGGGGCTGCACTCTGGGCCTACATAGGCGGTCATCATTATTTGTGAACTTTCCTTCCCATCATCCCACTACCCCCCCCCCCCCCCCCCCCCCCCCTAGAGGTTTGACCAAACCAAAAACTGTTCACTTGTTTGTTTACAAAATAGCCCAACTAGAAACTCCCGCCAACTGCATTATTGATGTGGCCAGACGAAGTGGCAGACGTCTAGCTGCTCTATGTCTCTAACTTCTTTCATTGTGGGGGTGTTACAACTTATTTCATGTTTTTATAGAAGGCCTATAACTGCAAGGGTATGTAGATTTATATTGTACCAAACTAATTGAATAAATATTATATTAAATATTATGCTAAATGTTTAGGTCCGATAGACAGATCTGTTTCATTTTTGTAACAAATATTATAGAAGATTGCTGAAGATACAGGCCTAACTGTGTCGATATGCAGGCCTAACTTTGTGCACTAAATATAGGAGGGTCTATATGCAGGCCTAAGGACGGAGTGGTAGAGACCTGGACTGTTAACCCGTTAGTCTTGAGTTTGAATCCGGGTTCAAGTCAGTAGACCGTCCCTGAGTCCACTCAACTCTGATGGGTACCTAACTCACGTTAGGGAAAGTAAAGGCGGCTGGGTATAGCGGTGACCACACTATCTCTATATATGCCAAGGTGACAGAAACAAGTCAACTCTACTTCACTTGCCCTATAGACCGTCAGATTTGAAAGGGAACTTTACTTTTTAGGGGTCATCCATAAATGACGTCACACTCGTAGGGGGGAGGGGGGTCCGTAATTTTGTGACGATGTGTGATGAGGGGGAGGGAGGGGTCAGATCTTGCGACGTCACATTTTTTGCAATATAAAAAAGCAATGTTAGAAAACGAATTTTAGACGTTATTTCGCGTTTTAGATAACTGTTTTAATAAATTGCAATAGTTTAGACAAGATTTTGGAAAAATATCGATGTTTTAAAAAAATTCAACTGCAATTTTGAGGGGGGGGGGGGGTTGTAGGTTGAGGTGTGACGTCATTTTAGGGGGGGGGGGGTCTGACTTTTTGTGGCGACGTGTGACGGAGGGGAGGGGGGGAGGTAAAAATCGTCGAAAAAAGCGTGACGTCATTTATGGATGACCCCTTATATGCAGGCCTAACTATGTGTACTAAATATATAAGAGGTCTAATCTTTGTGGAAAACGTGTTGAATGGCTTGACTTAGAATAACTTCCCTGTAAAGATGCCAGGCGAGGGTCTTAGAATTACCTTAGATGTGGCTGTCCCCCTCCCCTTATTCGGTAAAAAACGGAGTAGATCTAGCTCTAAAGTGGAAGATTATTTCCCTTTTTTTATACTTCCCTGTGTTTGTTTATTTTGTTAGGTGTTTTTATATTAATTTTTGTTTACCGTTGAAAAAAAAATCACTTTTGGGATTAGCTGGAAAAAACATGTGATATCAATTTGCAGATGATGTTAATACTTTGTAAATGATGTGAGTAGTTTGAAGAAGACAGAACATTGCTCTAAGGATTTAACTCGACATCGGTAAAACATCAAGGATGAAAGCTGAAGACATATAAACAGTTACGGAAACAATGAAAAGTAAGCATTTTGTATTTGAATTGAAAGGTTTTTCCATTCCAAGCATAATCTGTTTTGGTGATTATGTGACATGGAATTTCCCATTTCTCAAAATAAATAATAATTTTGGTAGGACTATTGCTTTTTATTTTTATAAGAGCACAAGTTCTTA